GCCGGCTGCCTCGCGGCCGCCGTTCTGCGCGTCTCCTCACCTATCCACCTGCTTGGGTGGCCGAGAGGGCGGTACCGACCGCGCGGGCAGCACCGCCAGACAAGCCCCAGTGTGTCCGCGCCGGTGCGCGTACTCGCGTTTGTATTCGCCGCAGAAATGCGTATTCCTCTAAGTGGTACGCCGGAGGGCGCCGCTTTGATTGGGTAAGACCATTACGAGCCGAGGCGCGGACACACTGGGGAAACTGCGGCCCCAGTCATACCGATTCGCCCCGAAGCCGAATGGAATGGGACTGGGGATGCAAATGCGAACCGAATGCGACGTTTTAGCTGGGAAACGCGCACACCGACTGCAAACAAAGCCAACACCCCCGAAACGAATCGACTTGGGCCCCGCGGAGCCGGGAGACGGGCTCCGGGACCGGGGCGGACGGCACACCGACCTCGCCGCACCACACCCCGCCGCCCCGCCTCGGTGCACGGGACCGGGACGCCCCTGCCGCGGCCCCTCCCACCGCTGGGCGGGCCCCGCCGCGCCCCTCCGCCCTCCTCGCCCCACGGACGGCCCCCCCGGCTCCGGAGACCGGCGCCCGGCCCTCTGCGCCGGACCGGCGACCGCGCCGCGCGGCGGCTCTCTCGAGGCGCCGCCATGAGCCTCGGCTCATGGCGGCGGGGGGTGGACGCAGGCGCGGGGCGTCCGTCGGCCCTAGCGGTGGTGGGGGGGGGGAGGGGCGAGAGCGCTCGCGTCGCGGCGCCGCTGGCGAGCGCCGTGCAGCGGCCTGCGGCGAGAGGGGCAGGGGGAGAGGCGAGACGGTGAGACGGTGACGGTGACGGTGGCGGTGACGGTGACCGCGCGGAGAGGAGAGGGGCGCGAGGGCTGCGGGATGAGGGGGGGCGCCGCGCCCCGCGGGAGAGGGGGAGGGGGGCGGAGGGGGAGGGTGGGGGAAGGAGAGAGGAGGCGACGGCGAGAGGGGTGTGTGCGGGGCAGCCTTGAGCGGGCCGACGCTGGCGCGCCGCGTATCGTTGCCGAGCCGAGAGGAGCGAGGCGCCGATCGCGCGCAAGTCGAGGCCGTCGCCTCCAGCGCATATGCTCGGCCTCGATCGCCTTGTCGCCGCGCCAGTCTGCGGCAGGGACGCGTGCGGGTGCGTGTGCGCTAGGGCCGAGGTGGCGGGGGCGGGGATGGCTGGCGGGTGGCGGAGAGGCGGCGTGGGGAGAGTCCCGGGCGGGGCGAGAGGCGGGGCAGAGGGAGAGGGCTGGGGGAGGGGCGAGAGGTGGCGGGGGGCGGGAGTTGCGGCTCGCACCGTGCAGCGCTGGCAGCCCCGACCGGCGGGGACCGCTCGCCGGGCCCGCCAGGCGGCACGCCACGGCAATCGCGGCAACGCTTCTTCAGCCGGCGCTTGGGCCCTCACCGCCGCCGTCAGCGGCCGTCAGCGCAGCGCCTCCGCCGCCGTGGGCCCGCCCCTCGCGACGACAACGCCCTCCGCAGCGGCGAAACACGCCGCCGGCCGCCGGAGCGCTGCGCGGGGCGCCGGCTCACCGATGAGCGGCGCGGCGACCGCGCCATCCGCCCCCGCCGCAGCAGCGCCGCCCGAGCTGCTCTGGACGCGCCCTGCGAGGCGGCGCATGCCGTCGAAAGATGTAGACAGCGACGGAGGAGGAGGAGGAGTCGAGGCGGCGGCGGGGCGGCGCCGCCGACGCTGGCCCCCGCGCCGCCCAGCCGCTCCAACCCGACTCGAGGTTGCAGCGACCCGAGCCTGCGGGGCTGCCGCCGAGGAGTGCGGAGAGAGATGCGAGAGAGGGGGGAGAGCGGCGAGGCGAGCAGATAGCGCGCCTCAGCAGAGGCGAGAGCGCCGCGGCCGCGGCCGCGCCTCACGCACGAGCGACGAGCCGCGCAGCCCGCCCTGCAGCGGCGCGCAACCTACGGCAGAGAGCGCCGATGAGACCTGGTGTGAGGCCGACGGCGGCGGGGATGGCGCGGTGCGCGGTCGGCGGAGGAAGGGGCGGGGCGGAGGGACAGAGGCCTGCCGAGAGGCTCCGAGAGAGGGAGGGAGGGAGGGAGGGAGATATCGCGAGGTGAGGAGCACGCAGTGAGGGCGAGAGAGGGCGGTGCGGTGGCGACGCCGCGGCGTGGCGCGAATGGGAAGAGTGCGGAGAGAGGTGCGAGAGAGGGGGGAGAGCGGCGAGGTGAGCAGCTAGCGCGCCTCAGCAGAGGCGAGAGCGCCGCCCGCGGCCTGACGCACGAGCGACGAGCCGCGCAGCCCGCCCTGCAGCGGCGCGCAACCTACGGCAGAGAGCGCCGATGAGACCTGGTGTGAGGCCGACGGCGGCGGGGATGGCGCGGTGCGCGGTCGGCGGAGGAAGGAGGGGGGCGGAGGGACAGAGGCCTGCCGAGAGGCTCCGAGAGAGGGAGGGAGGGAGGGAGGGAGATATCGCGAGGTGAGGAGCGCGCAGTGAGGGCGAGAGAGGGCGGTGCGGTGGCGACGCCGCGGCGTGGCGCGAATGGGAAGAGTGCGGAGAGAGGTGCGAGAGAGGGGGGAGAGCGGCGAGGCGAGCAGATAGCGCGCCTCAGCAGAGGCGAGAGCGCCGCGGCCGCGGCCGCGCCTGACGCACGAGCGACGAGCCGCGCAGCCCGCCCTGCAGCGGCGCGCAACCTACGGCAGAGAGCGCCGATGAGACCTGGTGTGAGGCCGACGGCGGCGGGGATGGCGCGGTGCGCGGTCGGCGGAGGAAGGAGGGGGGCGGAGGGACAGAGGCCTGCCGAGAGGCTCCGAGAGAGGGAGGGAGGGAGGGAGGGAGATATCGCGAGGTGACGGGGGAGCTGCGGGGCGGAAAGAGGGGAGAGCTGGCCGGGATGAGGAGTGAGAGCGCGGCGGTGGTGCGCCGCGCGCCGCTGCGCACCTGTAGCTGCACGCCGGCCTAGCGCACGGCCTCGGTCAAAGGGTGGCGGAAACGCGACGCGGAGGGCTGCGGCAGTGGCAGGAGCACTGGAGCGGCGGCGTGGTGGCGGGAGCGAAGGTGCCTGAGGCAGTGTGCAGCGGGCGTGGTGAGGCTCGAGGCTGCCAAGTGCGAGTGTGCGCGGGAGGCCGGTTGGGAGGCTAGCTGGCTCCCATCGCAACTCACACGCGGCTGTGGCACACGGGGAGACGCTGCTGCCTCTCGTGGCACTGCTCAACGACGCTCAACGCCGACCGTCGGGGGGTCTGGTTGGGCTCTGTGCGGCTGGAGGAGAGCGGAGAGTGGAGCGGTGGTGTGCCCGAGTGCAGAACGGCGCACGCTGCGCACCAGCAGCGCGTGGAGAGAGGCGGACGCCCGCCCCGAGGTCTCGTTCGTTTCAAGGCCGCCAAAAGAATTTTTGCGCGCGTCGTCCTTCCAAGACATTTTTTCTCCCACTGTCCTGTGTGGGTGATCGTGGGTGATCCTGCCCACCCCCTCTCCGTGTCGCGCTGTGTGCCCCCGCACCCCCAAATGGCATCCTCCCAAGACCCTTGCTTGCTTGTTCCGCAAGGAGCAAGGTGGGGACTCTGTCCTCTTCCCATCCCTGTTTGCCAGTGTTCAAAATTCTTCCTGTGTTAGTGCCAGTGTGTGCGCCACAGTCCCGTGCCCAGTCGCCAGTGTTGTGCGAGGAAGTTTTGTTGTAAAAAATCTTTCACTTTCTTCTGACTGGGGGGGGGGGGGGCAACGGCAGCGGTGGGGAAGGCGGCTGCAAGGGTGGCGGCAAGGGTGGCGGCAAGGGTGGTGCCAGTGAGTGGCGGGGGCGGCAAAAATGGTTGCGGGGGCAAGGGTGGCGGCCGCAGCAGTGGCGGCGGCGGCGGCGGCGGCGACAACCGACGGCGGCGGCGACAGCGGTGGCGAGGGCGGCGGGGCAGCTGGAGGCGAGAGCAAGAGCGGTGGCATGCGAGCCGGAGTGCCGGACGGCGGCGGAGGCGAGGGCGGCGTCGGGCCGGGAGAGGGGGCGACAAGGGCGGCGGCGAGAGGGCGGCGGCAGAGGCGGAGGTCGAAGGCGGAGGGTGAGATGGCGGCGGGGGTGAGGGCGTGGGCGAGGGGGCGGGAGGGCTGATGGCATAGACGGCGACGGGGCTGATTCATCACGGCGCGCGGCTAAAAGGAATTTTCCCGTCGTGGGTGATCCTGTGGATGGTGGATGATCCTGCGTAGCCCCTCTCCATGTCGCGCTGTGCCCCCATCCCCTCTTCCGGTTATTTTCTTTCTTTTCTGCATTCGGTGGTGACGAGGACGCGGTGGCAAGGGCGGCGGCAACGGCGGCGGCAACGGCGGCGGTGGGAAAGGCGGCTGCAAGGGTGCGGCAGCGAGAGCGGCGGGGAGGGCGGTGGCGGCGGTGGCGGCCAAGATGGTTGCGGGGGCGAGGGTGTAGCGGTGAGGGTGGCGGCGGAGACGGTGGTGGCGAGAGCGGAGGCGGCGGCGGCGGCGACAGCGGCGGGCTGGCGACGGCGGCGGGGTGGCTGGAGGCGAGGGAAAGAGAGTATGCAAGAGCGGCGGCACACCGGACGGAGGTGGAGAGAGGCGAGGGTCGTGGCGGTCAGAGGGGGCGGCAAGGGAAGCGGGCAGCCGGGAGGGGGCGGCGAGGGCAGCGGAGTGCGAGGGTGGCGGCGAGGGTGGCGGGCCGGCGGGGATGGTGGTGACGAGGGCGGTGGCGGCGGCGAGGGCCGGCTGCGAGGGTGGCGGGGGTGAGAGAGCGGGGGCGGGGAGGGCGGCTCTGAGGTGAGGGCGGCAGCGTCGCAGAGATGGCGGCGTGGGCGATTGTGGTGGGGTGGGTCGGGCGGTGGCGGTGACGGCGGCGGTGCGGCTTGAGGCGAGGGCGAGAGTGGCGGCATGCCGGACGGCGGCGGAGGCGAGGGCGGCGGGCGGGGCCGGTGCGGAGGGGGCGGTGAGGGCGGCGGCGAGGGCGGCGGCAAGGGGCGAGGGCGAGGGGTAGGAGGGCGGCGGAGGCGAGGGCGGCGGCAAGGATGGCGGTGGGGAGGGCGGCTGCGATGGTGGCGAGAGCGGTGGCCGGGCGAGGGTGGCGGGCGGCGAGTGTGGCCTGGTGTCAAGGGCGGCGGCGGTGACGGAGGCGGCGAGGGCCGAAGGGGGCGGATGGGCGAGAGTGGCGGCATGCGGCGACGGCGGCGAAGGCGGGGGCGGCGGCGGGGTGGGAGGCGGCGAGGGCGGCGGCGGGGGTGGTGGTGACGAGGGGGCGCGGCGGCAGGGGCGGGGGCGAGGGCGGCAGCGGCGAGGGCGGCGGCGAGGGCGGTGGTGCGGCATGTGGGTCACCAGCGCGGTGATGGCGCGCCTCAAGTCGGGGCACGACAACAAGCTGGCGCAGATCCAGGAGAAGAAGAAGAGGCGCAACCAGAAGGAGTCCGAGAAGGCGTCAAGCACGTGGAGCTGTGCATCTCCTCGCGGCGTCGGCGAGACCGCGCTCGCCAAGCTGAGCCCCGACCTCCCGACACGCACACACCTGTCTGCCCTCCCACTTGCTCAGCGCTCGTGCTCCCTCCCCTCGTAGGCCAAGCTGAAAAAACGAGCTGATAAAGTCAGAAAGGAGCCGCGACGTGCCGCTACTGAACGAGATGCCGGACACGGTGCTCGCGCTGCTGCTGCCGTCGGGAGCGCGGCAGCCACTTCTCGCGCTGCCCTACGCACCTCTGCCGACTTCCACGCCATCGCGGATGGCGCTGCTCGCGCTACCGGCGCCACGCGCCGCTGCCGGCCGCCGCTGCTCTGTAGCAGCGATCCCTTGCGCAGGATCGCCCTCGGCGCGCCGCGGCTGAGGCCGGGGGAGACAGCGTGAGGGTGTCAGGTGGTGTGCGAGGCGTGGACGCACCTAAAATACGAGCAAGTAGCGGCGAAGGCGAGGGGGAGGCGACGGCGAGGCGGATGGAGGCGGCGGCGGCGGCGAGGCGGAGGATGGCGGCGGCGAGGGCGAGGTCGACGGCGGCGGCGGAGACGGCGAGGACGACGGCGGCAGCGGTGAGGGCGAGGCCGACGGCGGCGGCGGCGGGGGTGAGACGGAGGGCGGCGGCAGCAACGGCGAGACGGACGGCGGCGGTGGCGAGGGGGAGGCGGACGGCGGAGGCGGTGACGGCGACGCGGACAGCGGCGGCGGCGGCGGCGGCGCGGAGGGAGGCGGCGGCGACGCGGAGGGAGGCGGCGGCGACGGCGAGATATCTACAGGAACGCGACGGCGAGGCGGTGGAGGCGGCGGCGAGGGCGAGGCGGAGGGAGGAGAGGCGAGGGCGAAGCGGAGGAAGGCGGCGGTGACGGCGAGGTCGATGGCGGTGGCGGCGGCGGCGAGGTCAACGGCGGCGGCGGTGGGGTGGGGGTGGGGGGGCAAGGCCGACGGCGGCGGCGGCGGCGAGGCGGGAGGGCGGCGGGCGGTGAGGGCGAAGCGGAGGGCGGCGGCAGCGACGGCGAGACGGACGGCGGTAGCGGCGAGGGCGAGGCGGAGGGCGGCGGCGGTGACGGCGACGCGGACGGCGACGGCGGCGACGGGGATCCGGAGGGAGGCGGCGGCGATGGCAATGCGAAGGGAGCCGGCGGTGGAGGGCGAGGTCGGCGGCGCGGCGGCGGCGGCGGCGGCGAGAGGGAGGCGGTGGCGGTGGCGGCAAGGCGGAGGGAGGCAAAGGAGACGGCGAGGCGGAGGGAGACGGCGGCGAGGGCGAGGTTGATGGCGGCGGCGGCGGCGGTGAAGTGGAGGCAGGGAGGCGGCGGCAACGGCGAGGCGGAGGGCGGCGCGAGGGCGACGCGGAGGGAGGCGACGGCAAGGCGGAGGTAGGCGAGAGCGAGGCCGACGGCGGCGGAGGCACGGCGAGGCGGGGGGCGGCGGCGGTAATGGCGAGACGGAGGGCGGCGGCGGCGAGAGTATGGCGGACAGCGGCGGCAGTGACGGCGACGCGGACGGCGGCGGCAGCGACGGCACGGACGCGGAGGGAGGCGGCGGCGACGGCGAGGTCGACGGCGGCGGCGGCGGCGGCGAGGAGGAGAGAGACGGCTTCGAGGGCGAGGCGGAGGGGAGGCGGAGGCGAATGCGAGGTCGACCGCGGCGGCAGTGGCGGCGAGGCGGGCGGGAGGTGGCGGCGAGGGCGAGGCGGAGGGCGGCGGCAGCGGCGGCGAAGCGGAGGGCGGCAGTGGCGAGGGTGGCGGGCGGCGGCGTCGGCGTCGGCGAGTCGGAGGGCGGCGGCGGTGACGGCGGGCGGCGATGGCGAGGCGGAGGAGGGCGGCGGTGGCGACGGGGAGGCGGAGGGCCACGGCGGCGAGGGCGAGGCCGACAGGGGCGGCGGCGAGGCGAGACGGACGGCGGCATCGGTGACGGCGAGGCCGACGGCGGCGGCGGCGGCGGCGAGGCGGAGGGAAGCGGCGGCGAGGGCGAGGCGGAGGAGAGGGCGAGGCGGAGGGAGGCGGAGGCGAGGGCGAGGCGGAGGGAGGCGGCGGAGAGGGCGAGGCGGAGCCGCTCATGGCGGCGGCGGCGGGAGGGCGCGAGGGCGGCGGTGGTGGGGTTGTTGACACGGAGCAGCGCCGTAAACTCGTCGTCACCCAGTGAGCCACCTGCCAGTTGCGAGGTCATCAAAACCGTAGTTGCGTGCTCGTGGCGCTTGCCACGCGACCTAAAGACGGCGCTATTTGTCCTCCGACCATTGCCTAACGCCGGAGGAGTGGCAAGCGGTGAGGAGGGGGCCGTGGCGCGGGAAACGGATGTGCGAGGGACGCCACAGACGCCTCAGCGGGCGCGCCCGGGCGCATCAAGACCACCACCGCGGGGCGCGCGGCGATGCGCGTGCTGGGCGTGCTGGGCGCGCTTCCGGCCGACGTGGACGTCTCCGTGGGGTCGGTGCTGCCGGAGGCACGCGCGCTCAAGGGCCGCCTATAGAGAGCTCAACTCTCGGTGCCTCTCTGAGGCCACCCTGGGCGGCACGCACGCCGCTCATCGCCCCAGCGGTCCTGTTCATCGCTGGAGGGATGCGGAGTGAGCTCTCGAGGGCGCGAAGGGGGGGGAAGGGGATGGAACGGGGCCGGTGGGGATGGTGTAGCGGCGGCTGCCGCGGCAGCGTGGGAGAGGCCCGAGTGGGAGAGGCCCTTACGGGTCGTTTATCCCGCTTCAACGGCGAAAGAGTGGCTCTTCCGTCGCCTCCCGGGCCGTCTCGAAGGGCCGTGCAGCCCACGCCACGAGGCGCTGCTGGCGGGAGCCTGGAAGGACTCGTCAAGGCCTCAGACTGCCATCTGGAGCGGGCGGCACTGGTGGGGCTGGAGGGGCTGACTGAGCGCCGGTGGGGCGGCTGAAGCTTGCCTGGCACGGGTTCTCGCGGCGCGTCCGCGTACCACGCGTCCAAGGCGCTGTTCCCACACCGCTCTGAGCGACACGGGTGTGCGTGGCGCGGTGGAGGAGCGTGAGATGATCTATAGCGAGCCTCTCGCACGTCCTGTGAGCGGCAGAACCGGCCATCCCGCACGACGAGGGCGACGCGTGAAGGTGCGCACGCCATAAGGCAGCTCCGGGCCAGCGAGGTGGATGGGATGATAGCGGCTGAGGGGGCCTGAGCATCGACGCGCCGCCGACAATGCTCCGTGAGGCCGCAAACGGCCAGGAGCGCGTCAATCGGAAAAGTGGAACCACGCGATGACGAGCGGGTATGGAGTGATAGATTTCTGGGAACAGTAGTGGGATGGGGCAGACTCCCAGGATCCCGACGCACGGAGTACGTGTAGCGCGCGCAGCAGTGGTATCTGCAGCAGAGCCCTCTCGCGCCGCGACGGCTCTGCGCAGAGGGTCCGTGGCTAGGCAACGGGCGCACCTGCGGTCCTGTAGCTGATGGACCTCGGCCAGCAGGCTCGCGGGGGGCAGATGTTGTCGTCTCTCTTCGCCCCATTCTGTTCCAAAACAGGCGTCACATGCATGTGCATGCTCAGCGTAGAGTAGTAACCTCTGCCCCGCGCAGGGGGGTGGGACATTGCGCACATTGAGACCGGTGTCATGACAGTGCTGAGGCGACGAAGGTCGAAGCTCAGTGTAACTCGTGGAGAAGGCGCCGACAAAACGGCACTGTGCAGCGAGTGCTGAGACATCCGACATCCCCTTTCTACCAGGAGGAAAATGTATTTTCTTTTCCGCACGAGACCTGCACTTGTGCCAGCGCTTCAGCAACGCGGGCTCTCTCAGCAACAGAGAACGCAGCCCAAAACCCGAGACAGAGAGACGGGCCGGCGCCCCGGCTCGCCTCTGCGGGCCGCGCCGTCGGCCCACCACGGCGGCGCGGCGTCGGACCTCGTGCTGCCGTCGTTCATCATGATCAAGGCGCGCGCCCGCCCGCGGCCCGCTGCAGCGCGCCCACGGCTCACGGCCCTCGCGCAGCCTGCAGCGCGGACAGCGCCTTCCGGCAGCGCGCCGCCTCTAGCGAGCCAACGCCTAGGAGGCACGCAACGTGGATGTGTCGCGGTCGCGTCCCAGCCGCGCCCCTCGTCGGTCGAGCTTCGGCGGCCGAAATGCGCCACGAAGCCCTCCTCTGCCGAGCAAAAGAGGCGCGCGGCGGAGGGGGCGTCGCCTGCGGCGCGGTAGCAGACGGCGGCGCGCTCGAGGTCGGCGGCGGCGAGCGGGTCGAGCGGGTTGCCTGGAGGAGAGGGGAGGAGGAGGGAGGCGCGTCGCCGAGCGGCTCGCGGTGTCGCGGGGCAGGACTTGGTGCGTGTTAGGACTGTGTGCGGCCGTCGCCTGAGAGGCGGATCCGCGCGTCTGCGAACTGGCAGTAGACCTCTGCGCGCTGCCCTCCGGCGATGGGGACGCGGCCTGCTCGCAGCGGGAAGGGGCTGGCGGGCCGGCAGCGCCGCGCGAGCGGGAGGCTGGGCGGGCCTATGTTGCTGCGGTACGCCGCCACCATCTTGTGGTGGTACGGGTGGAGGCGGCGCATGCACTCGCCCAAGTCGCTCGATCGCTCGGCGGCGAGCAGCTCTGCCCACGACTCGTCGTCGAGCGAAGTGGTGTCGCCGCAGCCGAAGCAGACCAGCGAGCGGCATCCTGCTCGCGGGCATCAGCAGCGGGCATCAGCGAGGCGGGCAGAGCAGGCGGGTGCTGGGAGCGTGAGCGGCCGCCCTCGTCCGATGCCACGGGCGAGGAGGGCGCCTCGCCGCAGCTGTGGCACACGAAGCAGCGGACCAGCTCCGGCGCCTGCTCGCAGCGGTGGCAGGCGCAGCGGAAGCCGTGCTGCGAGAGCAGCTGCGCGCGGCGGTCGGCGGTCGGCTGGTAGGAGACGACGTACGAGATGGAGAGGGGCTCGCCTGTGGGAAGGTTCCGAGAAGGTTCCGACCGAGGCTCCTGCGGACATACGAGATGGAGAGGCGGCCGCCCTGCGCCACGTCCCGGCAGGTGCGCAGCGAGAGGAGGCTGCCTCCCGCCTCGGACCCGACCTGCTCGCGGTCCGCGGGGGTTAGGCTTAGGGCTAGGGTTCGGGTTCAGGTTCGGGTTCGGATTAGGGTTTGGGCATAGGGCTAGGGTTAGGGTGGCTGCGGGTGGGTACGGGGAGGGCGCTGCCGTCACGTGAGCGGAGGGCGTGCAGTCGTGCTGCATCATGGAGGTGAGCAGGCCGAGCACGCCTCGCGCCGGCCGCTCCGCTGCGTGCACGTTGACGGACGCCACGCCAAGCCAGTGCCTTGCCGTCGCGGAGTCGTGGGAAGGGCTACGCGGTCAAAACAGACGCACCGCCGGTGAGATCTGCGAGCCAGCTGGCTCCAGGGCGGCGGCGTTGCGGGGCTCCAGGCGGCGGCAAACGCGTCGGCTGCAACGTCAAAGGCGACGGCTTCGGCCGAGCCCTCGCCGTGGGCCGGAGAGCAGAGCAGGGCAGCCGCCTCGACTGGGCTCTCCAGGAGCGCCACCGCCACCGCCTGTGCCTCTCCACGCAGCGCGGCGGGGCTGCTTGCCGCCGCCACGGGTGCCACCACCAGAGGGCGCTCGGAGCAGACGAGCGTCCCCGCCTATGGAGCTCGTGCACGAAGCCTCGGCATGGAGCCTCGGTTGATGATGGGTGAAGTGTGGCGAGATGGCGGCCGGCAGGTCACAGGCCGCCACGAGGACGCGGCCGAAGCCCTCCTTGGAGACCAGCCTCCATAGCAGCGGGCCAGGCGCCACCGATGCGAGGCTGATGGCGCTGTGCAGCGAGTAATGTGTGTGGACGTCGGACAGTCGCGAGTCCATGGCGGCGAGGAACGACGCCGCCTTCCCGTAAGCCGCCACTGTCTAGTTTTTGCCGCAGCCGCTTCGACAGCTGCTCGGTGGGGGAAGAGAGCTCAACAGCTCAAGAGCAGCGTGGCAAATAGAGCAGGAGTGTTGTCGCGCTGCGAAGGAATTTTCTTTTTCCCTCGCTAGACATAACGCTGCTCCCCCGGCTCGGAGGAGGAGGAGCGGTGGGTGGAGGTGGAGGCGGTCGAGGCGGGCACTGGAATACGGGAGCGAACAAAAGAATTTTCCGACAATCCCTTCGAACGCACACACCCCCGGGCTAGGCTCTCTAGCCCGTAACCCGATGCCAATCATCCGGCCCGCTGGGTGCGCTTCTACCTTCTTAGCTCCCCGGCCCTGTCGGCAACCTCACACCCATAGCCACCGACTGCACTCCCAAGCAAGTGCTCCAAGCGAAGACCTCCCTCTCACAGCTCTGGCAACGGGACTGGCGCGCACTGGCACTAACACAGGTCCACCACGGGAGCACGGGAGCCGCCTAAGCGACTCCCGGCGCTGCGAGAGGACGGCGAGGCACACTTTAGCTCCGTGCACTCGACCCCGCTCTTGCGACTCGCCGTAAACAACAAGGTCAAGATGGGTAAACGAAGGAGGAGAGCGGGTCCCTCCCCCTCCGCCCGCATGCCGCCAAGCGCCATGCCCGATCTTTCAGCAGAGGGGGGTTCTGGCGTGTCCTTGTCGCGATGGTCGGCCTCTCGCTCTCCGGCATCCAGGGGTGCCGGCTCCGACGCGAGGTGCCGCGAGGTGCCACCTGTGACCTGAGGTGCTCGAGGTGTCTCGTGGGCCGCGCATCGCATGGGCCATGGCGGCGCGCTATAACGTAACTGTCGTCAATATCAGACGAGCAAATGCAGCACAAACGCTGAGAAAAACTGGAGGCCGACAAGCGTCTCACACCGCGTCCACAGCATCCTCCGCAGTACTAGACGTTCCGGCTTCGGCGATGCCGGCGGCCGTTCCCCCGCCGTCGATCCCGCGCATCGCCGCGTCGGTGCTGCGGTGGAGCTGGAGGGCGCGCCGCGCCTACTCACAGCACGGGGCGAGGCCTCACGCTGCAGCAGAGTCGGGGGGAGCAAGCGAACGTGTGCTCAGAGAAGTGGCGGGGCGAGGGCAGGGCGAGGAGAGGGCTCGCTTTTCACCGCGTCGGCCGACTGGCGGACAAAAGCGACGAAAGTGGCCATCCACAGCGCCTCCTCGTCAGGCAAGTCGACCTATACACACGCACCACGGCTAAGAAGGGCACTCCGCGCGGCCAAGAGTGGCCACCGCGCAGTACCATCGCGTCGCGGCAAAAGGTGGCCAGTTGCTGCGTGAGCGCCGCCGCCGCTCGCTCCACCGCCGCCGCCGCCTGCTGCTGCGCCTCGGCACGAGTGGAACCCCCCGCATCGCTGCCGCCCTCGTCGCCGCCATCGTCGCCGCCGCCGCCGCCCTCGCCGCCGCTGCCGCTCCTGCCGCCACTGCTGCCCCTGCCGCCGCCGCCCGCCCCTACGACTCTCACCACCCACGCCAAGCAGCCCGACGAGGCGCGACGCGTCGGGCCGGCGATGTGGCCCTGCCCGCCTCCCTCGCCCGCCCTCGCCGCCGCCCGCATCCCGCCGCCCGCCACTGCGCCCACGTCGGCTGAAAGGGCGAGCGCGCGAGGCCCGTCCCGCACCTAGGAAGCGGCAGGGAGGAGTCGGGCGAGGGAGTGAGTGAGCGCGGCGCCCGCGACCGCGGCGCCGTGGCGGCGAGGCTGCGCAGGAGGGCGGAGATCGCGAGGGTGAGCTCCGTCAGAGGGCCGGCGAGGAGGGCGCCTGTGCGAGCGGAGGGGTGCGGGCGAGGGCTGGCCGGGCGAGGCTCGCAGGGCGGCCTGCGGGCCGGGGGAGCGCGCACTGAAGTGGGCGCGCGAGGAGGCGGCCCCACCCGGCAGCGGGTGGCGCGCGTACTCGTCGAGGGAGACGACCTGCTCGACAGGGTGGAGAGGCAGGGGCGAGAGCGGGGCTGACTGAGCGCTGGCGGCGGGCAGGAGGCGCGGCGGGCAGGAGGGGTTGGCACACCGAGTAGACGAAGCGGCGCATGTGGATGCCGACGTCGCGAAAGGGCTCCCAGTCGCCGCCGCGCCTGAGCTCCCACTCCTCCCACGACGCGGCCGAGACGGCCGCCTCGTACGCCGGCCGGGAGTGGATGATCTGCTGGTACGAGGCGTGCAGGTCGCACTCGATCTCGGGGTAGTCGTCGTCGTAGATCTCGGAGATGCGGTGCAGCCGCGCGCCCGAGCAAAAGGCGTCCACCACGCGGCGCGCGGCGTCGGCGGCGTCGAGGAGGTTGTCCGCGAGGATGCCTGTTGTGGTCGCAGGCGTGGAACGATCAAGGAGGTCATCAGGTCTCGTAGAGGTCTCCCCCAGAGGCCCCGGGAAGAGGCCATCGCAGCTCGTTCGACGCGAGTGTCTGGCGACGGCGAGTGTCTAGCGAGGGCTGCCTCGCAGCTCGTTCGACGCGAGGATCTTTGGCGGCGCTGCGGAGACGCAGACGGCGATGACGGCGCCGGCGAGGATCATCGCGATGCGGTACACGCCAGACGTGAAGTCGTCGCGGTACCTGCTCGCGGCGGCGTGAGTGAGGAACGCCTCGACGCGCAGCGGCAGCCGTGCGGAGCCGGCGGCACTCGAGGAGCAGCAGAAAGTCAAAGGTGAGCGCCGTGAGGAAGAAGGCGTAGGACCACAGCGCCCACGATTTGCTGCCCGCCAGGAAAGTTGCGGCACCCGTCGCCGCAAAGACGCAGCCGCCCACAAAGACCGCCGCCAGGCTGCGGTGCGCGGTCTCCAGCACATTCGCCACAAAGCCGGCGGCGAGCGCCGCTATAGCGGCGGCGACGGTGCCAATGACGCGGTTGACTGTCTTGTGCGTGGTGCCTCCGAGCGTCTGCGACTGCATTACGATGAGAGTCGTGATGACGCACCAGACGCCGGTCCCGTTGGTCGCCCGCTCGAAAGGGTCGATCAGCGAAACAGAGGCGGCGAGCAGAGTCGCGGCGCCGGTCTTGGCGGCGTGGATCAGCCGCAAACGACGGGCGGTGGAGCGGTAGCGCTCGCCCACGACCACGTGGCTCAGCCGAGAGTCGCGGGAAAGCAGCACAGTGAGGAGCCGCACGCGTCGCCAGCGCGAGCGTGTGCGGCGCAGCTGCTCCGCACCGCTCGAGGTGTCACTCTGCCGGGAGTGGCGATCGGAGAGGCGGTCCGGATCGAGAGTCTCGATGGAGGAGAGCCGCGCGAAGCCCGGTCGCGACATCGCTCTCCTCGCACGGGAGAAGCCACCCGGGATGGCTACATGTACATGTGCATGCGCATCATGTGCAACCTGCGCCGCGCGAGTGTAAAGGGCGCTGGGCTAAATTTAGTGCGTGTGCATCACAGGCCAGCGCACAGCGCCATAGGACGTATTTTCTTCTCAATAACAAGGCTGTGAATGAACTTTAGTGATAGTTTAGTGCGCTATTTAGTGTGTGTTCGAGTGCGTGTGTAGTGCGTCTTTAGCGCCACATTTAGTTCATTCACTTTAGGTGCAGGCAGCTGCAGTACATTTAGTGTGGTCCGCATCTTTAGTGCGGGCACGCATCTTTCGCACGGCTTCCCGGCCACACCACAGCTAGCCAGGGCCGCGTGCTTTGCTCCTTGGCTGCCAAGAATGCACCACAGGAGATGCCCGGCCCCTCCCTGCCCTCATGACCCAAAGGAAGGCAGGCTCCCAGTGAGGCTAGATATGCAGCCCTCCAGAGCAAGATCTCCCGACTTGGGGGTATATTGCAGATTTGTCAATGGTACCGCGTCTGCGACGCTAGACTTTGCAGCATGATGCTGGTAGTAGTCGTAGGCGTCACCTGTCACGTTGTGAGCGAAGCCGCTTGTAGTAGGATTGCGAGCGTAGGTATGTAGTAAGATGAAGAACAGGCTCGGACTGGTGCTACGATCGGTGATCGCAATTCTTTATCACTCTCCACTGCCGGAGCGCTTCCGACCCTTCCTGGCGACAAAGTGACCGCACACTCTCCACTGCCGGAGCGCTGAAGTACCGCAACATATACGAGGGTGTTGAGAGGCGGCAAGCGTTTCCAAAGGGTGCGTCGTTTCAGATTTTCGAGTGGGTCTCAAGACTAACCAGAACAATGGCGACACTTTTCCACGACGTCGAGGCTGCCCGTCTGCTCCTGCCCGGCCTGACAGTCGGCCGGCTCCTCGACGGCGCCCTCGCCCTCTTCTTCGTGCGGCTGCTGCTCGCCATGGCCGCTCACCCGCATATGCTGCTTCCGCGGTACGGCCGCACCCACCGCCTCACCGGCTCGCTCCTGCTCCTTTACCTCATGCTCGGCCTGGCCGACGTGCGGCTGACTCCGCTCCTCCGCCTCCGCGGCGCATACGACGTCGGCCTGTCGCTTCTCGGCTTGGCCACCGCCTTCTCCGCTGCACGCGACTTTGGCTCTGCGCGGGTCCACCTGCGCGGCTCCGAGGCGTCCGGCATTCTCGACGAGAAGGCGGCCGACCTTCGGACGGAGTGCCGCCCTCCTCCTCTCCAACCCTCTCCCTCCGCCTCTGCCTCAGGCGACGGTGAGCCGGAGCGAAATGCTGGAGCACTGCTTCTACCAGCTTCTCAACCTCTGCCAGGTCGGCTTCCTGTACGCCTCAGCCGCGCTCCCGCACAGCCGCGCCGCGCGCACGGCGCCCTGCCGCGCCGAGGCGGTGCGAGCGAGGCGCTCTCCTCCACGGGCGGCTGTCGTGTGGACAGGCGCTCGCCGCCGCGCTGCTGCTGCCGTGGCTGGCGCGGAGCCGCTTCCCGGTCAACAGCTTCTCGGCCAACTACAAGACGCCCGGCGTCGGAGGCACCACGCCGCTGATCCGCTTCCTCTACCGCTTGAAGAAGTGGCAGTACCTGCTGTACAAGCGAGCGGGGAGGGGGGGCTCGGCGGGCTGCGGGCGAGGGGCGCCTCTCGACGGGCGGAGAGGTGCGAGGTAGGCACTTCCTGCTGCACGGGCTCAACGTCAGCGTCGCGATGGGAGGAGGAGGAGGAGGAGGAGAGGGCGCGGCGCTGGTGGGGACGGCGCACTTCAGGCTGTACTGGCTCTGCCTGAACGTTGCTTACGTCTGCGAGTTCTTCATGCAGACGCTGGTCAAGCGAGGTGCGAAGCGAGATGCAGCGGAGAGGCGGTGGAGAGGCATCCGAGCTGCGACGGACACACCCCTCAGCTCGTTCCCTCAGCTCGTTCCGAATTGCCGCCTCGCCCCCCTGCCTGCGCCTCTTGCCCGCAGGCTACATGAGCCAGCGGTGGATGCTGGTGCTGCAGCAGACGCTGATGCTCGTCAGCACGGCCGCGGCGCTGCAGGCGAGACGCCGCCGAGACGCAGCCGAGACGCAGCCGAGACGCAGCCGACGCGCTGACGCTCCTCGGCGCTGCAGGTGCTGCAGGCGGTGCGACCCCTTCCCGCGGTGCTCTCCTTTGCGCTCAACTTTCTCCGCCGCGGCCGCGAGGTGAGCAACGGTTGTATAGTGATTGGCGCGGCGGCGGCGTTAGAGTCGCTCGAGCGGTCACAAGGACGAGGCAACTGATCACAGTTCCACACATTCGCATGCACCGTCTTCTTGTGTTGACGATTGATCTCGTTGCACACACGTACAAATTAGAAGAAGGTGCGCCGCACAAGACACGCGCTCAACGTACAATGAGCTCAGCAGCAGAGGAGAGCGCAGATTGATATTATTAAACGAAGGATGGCCCCCGCAAGCGGCAACACATGTGAACAAAACCGGAGAACTCTGGGAAAAGTGGGAACGTCACACTCGTCAGGGGCGGCGACCCCCCCATCTACAGATGATATGCGCATCTTGAGATAATATGCATCTAAGATGCACCCTACTTGGACTGCACACTGTCTTGCCTATGATCGAGCATCTCTAGGTGTTTTTTTCAACTAAGATGCCGGAGGGTGCTGGGATGCTCGAATCATCCGTCTGAAGATGCTTCGCATATCCCAAGATGCTTGGGCCTTGGCATTTAATGATTAAAATGCAAGTTAAATTATAAAGACTTGAGCGGCGTGTGAGCCATTGGATCAAAGTTGGAATGGAGACTGTGAATCTATGCTAATTTCAGTTGCTATGCTAAGTCGTATAAGTGAGATGTCGTCGCTGTGGAACACCACTGATGGTGATGGAACTGGGAGCCACTGAGTGATGGTGGGGGGCACTTAGCCCTGTGGTGCTAATGCTGACTTTACTACATGGACGGTTGCGGTTGCCTATATGTAAGACTGGTTTTTATTTGGTTCTGGGTTCGGCAAAAAAACTCCGTGGACACTGTCGATCGAAAATATTGGAAAACATCCGACAACGCGCTCATGGTTCCTGAGATGCATTGCGCATCCTCAGATGCCACATTATATCCTGGGATGCATGGACTAACCCAAGATGAGGGTATCATCTCGGCACACTTGTGCGTCTGAAGACGACTGCAGTATCTGAGATGTCACGCGCTATCAAAAAAGACGCTCGTCACCATCTATCTTCTTGCAGAACCCAATCATAGTGGAGACACCCGGCCGGTGTCCTTAGATGGAAAACGCATCCTAGATGTTTGGCATCTAGGATGCGCATATCATCTGTAGATATTGGGGGGTCGCCGCCCCTGACGGAAAACTCAAGAGCGGCCGCACACTGCTCGGTACCCCCCCCTGCACATCTAAAGCCATGGCCGACCCCCCCCCCCCCCAGCAGCAGCGCTCTGCTGCTGGGGGGGTCGGGACCCCCCCTACCCCCCCAGCAGCAGCGCTCTGCTGCTGGGGGGGTCCGGACCCCCCCCAGCAGGAGCGCTCTGCCTGTGGGGGGTGCTGGCATCACTTCTGGCATCTCTGTACAGACAGCAGCTGTAAGTAGCATGTGTTCCAGTGGCGAGAATTTATGGTCGGCACCAAAATCAGTGGTCTCACCGGCGGGCCCTCCTACTGCCAACCGGGCTCGAAGGCGCGATGAACACAACCGCCTCGAGCGTACGCTCAAACACGAGCCGAGGGTGGAGGGGGGGCGGCGGCGAAGAGGCGCGGGAGAGCTGGGTCATCTTGGGTCCGTGCGCTCTGCTGCTGGGGGGGTCGGGACCCACCCCCCAGCAGCAGCGCTCTGCTGCTGGGGGGGTCAGACCCCCGCGCCCCCCTAGCAGCAGGGATGGCTTTAGATGTGCAGGGGGGGTGCCGAGCAGTGTGCAGCCGCAGAGCCGCTCCAAGAAGTGTCAAGAGCAAACATAAAATTTGTCGATATTGTCGTAATACGTAAATAACAAAATCATAAAATTTCACATGGTGCATGTGTATGTCTTTCGACCGCCACTCTCCACATGCTATCGTGGAGGTGTGTACCGTACTTTTGGGCTGTCATATGGGGCCTCATATCTCACTTCTCAGTGTGGTACTGAACTGCGTAGAGCCGCCCTGCGGAGGGCAAGGGCCGTGTGGCACGGGCCCCTCTCGCGAGCTAGCACCTGCCGGCCTTGCCCTCCAGCCGGCCGAGCAGCGCCTCGGCAAAGGCAAAGTAGACGCGCTCGTCGAAGGAGGCGCGGAAGAAGTTGCAGGAGAGGTTCGCCTCGAGCAGGCAGACGCCCGCCTCGGCGGTGATAGCGACGTCCCACCCCACCAGCGGCACGCCGGGCATCAGCTTGCGGTGCGCCTCGCGGACCAGCGAGGCGATCGAGGCCATGTCCGGGATCACCTCGCCGCACACCGGCGCACCGCAGTCCGGGTGCACCTCGACAGTGTGCCCCTCTGAGAAGAGCGGGCAGCGGCGAGCGCGAGCCAAGCCGAGCTGGTACCAGTGCGCGCTGGTCGTGCCGCGCCGGATGTCGCCCGTCGCGACGTCCACGTCGAACATGACGCATGAGTGGTCGGTCGAGGCGCCTGCTCGCCCCGCGCGGAAGCAGGCGGACAGCACCTCGACGCCGCCCTCGTCGAGGGAGGAGGCCTCGGCAGGCCGCTGGTGCAGGCTCGCCCGGGAGGCGGTGACGAGGCGGAGGGTCGAGAGGGGCGCGACGGGCGGGAGCAGCTTGGCGATCGAGGGGGCGTTCGAGAGGGCGGGCTGCAGGATCCAGTCTCCTCCGTGCGCCTGGTGCACCGGCGCGAGGGCTGGGGAGAGCTGCTGTCGGGGGCTTGCCGAGGTGTAGCCGCCGCACCGCGTTGCGGAAGGTGTGGAGGCCGAGGCCGCCCTCCTCGTTGCGGTGCTTGACGACAATCGCCCGGTCCGAGAGGGAGGGCGAGGCGGCGACGCCCTGCCGCTCGCACGCCGCGAGAAACAGCTGCTTGTCCTACGGGGAGGGCTCCGGCAAGGCTCTGGGAAGGTTCCGGGAAGGTTCGCCACACGCGCGGGCGAGGGAGAGGAGGGAGTCCTCGAGGCCGTAGCCCGGGTCCGAGGTGGCGAGCGCGTGGTACGAGGCGAGCACGCAGTTCAGGCGCCAGTAGTGGAACCACGACCAGTCCGAGAGAAGGCTCGAGGCGAAGGCTCCGCCGAGCGAGCCGCCGCCGCTCGAGGGGCGGCGGACGGCCGCCACCAGCGCCGCGAGCGGGAGGAGGAGCCACGCGAAGAGGAGGGCGAGCGGGCGGCAGCTGCAAAAGACGGAGAGGGGCACGCCGGTGGCGGGGAGGGCGACGTTGCGCAGGTTCTTAGCCAGATCGTTTTGGAAGGTGCCGCTGCGGTAGTGGCCGTCGCCAAAGAGGCGGAGGTGCAGCGCGAGGCTGTAGATGCAGAGCCGCTCCTGCCGGGCGGAAGAGTAGCCGATGAGCGGGGTGCGAGGCATATGCTGGCCGAGCGAGGCGTCTCTCTGGCTGTGAGCGTGGAGGACACAGCTTCCGACTGCGCTTTCGCACGCTCTCCGCGCTCCTGCGGCGTAAGGTGCGGCAGCGCCGAGCAGAGGCGCGAGTACTTGCCGCCCGCGGCGCAGATCGCGAGCCCGCGCCAGTAGGCAAAGAGGGCGGAGCGGGCGGAGAGAGGATCGAGGTTGATAGCTGACTCCTCAGCTCGCTGGTGCTGCATCCTCGGTGACACACAACAAAAGAATTATACAATATTACAGGATTTCACCCACGAACACATATCCTCAAGGGCGAGGACACGCACAGGCCGCACCTCTAGTGAGGCCCGCATAGTATGTGGGAGACTCGTGCCGCCGCCCCTGCCACCCCTGTGTCAGTGTGCCTGTGTGGTAGCGAGAGACTGCCAGCGACAAGCTGGAGGCAGGTCGCTAGACTGAGATGAGACCGCCAGTGGATGTGGGAGTCCACCGCGCACCGCGCTGCGAGCCTGTCGTGTCCCTTGTCAGGAGCAGGAGAGTCCCCCTGTCCCCCTGATCGTCCTTCCAAAATCCTGCTCGTGCAGGTGGGGACCCTGTCCTCGTCCCATCCCTCGTTTGGCCTGTCTGTTTTCTTTCTTTCTTTCTTTACATATCCTGGAGATGTCTGCTCTATTTATTTATTACACATATCGTGGTGGCGGCGTACCGTCCTCCCATCCCTCCCTTGGTTGTCTGGGTTCTTGGAGCACTTGGGTTCTTTCCTTCTTTCTTTACACATATCGTCGACGAGCAACAAAACACACGAGCAGCGGGCGGGCAGAAAATATTCTGTTTCTTCTCCCTCCTCTCTCTCTCTCTCCCTCCCTTGGGTTGTCCGTTTTCTTTCTTCTCTCTCTCTCCTCCCTCCCTCCCTCTCTCTCTCTCTCTCTCTCTCCCCCTCCCTCCCTCCCTCCCTCGCTCTCTCTTTCTCCCTCCCTCCCTCCCTCTCTCCTCCCTCCCTCCCTCCCTCCCTCTCTCTCAACAAAGAGAAACGCGGTTCCCTGCGTCACTACGTGCCTCCCCGTCTTTGTAGCCTGGTGTTTGTGCCGTTTGTCCCGCGTCGCGTGTCAGTTCATTTTTTCAAACGCGGTCTGTCGACAGCCACCGACAGCCCTGCGACAGCCACAGTGCCGCCGCGCAGTCTACTAGGTGTCATGCCCCGGAGTGTCATGCCAGCACGCCGGTCGTTGTTCCAGTCGCTCGTCCAGCACCGCCGGCTGTCCTCGCTCCCGCCGCGTGCACGCCGACAGCTCGACGCGCCCTTCGAGCCGGCGGTGCTTGCGCCCATCGGCGTTCTACGCAGCCCCTACCCAGATCGTTTCGGCTGCCCTCGGCAGGCAGTGTGTGCATCGGCTGTTGAGGGCGAAGGCGCGCTGGTGGGCGAGCAGCAGGTGGCGAGCCAGTGGGTGAGCCTTCGCAAGGACCGGGCGGAGCCCGGAGCCCTCTACTAGGCGACGGTCGAGCTTCGCGGCGACTGGCACCTCGAGGCTGCCGTGCGGGACCTCGAGGCCTCCTCCACCGCCCCACCTTTAGCACCCTCCCAACGCCTCCTTCACACCTGAGATGATCTGTGGCAGCAGCTCACGCCGCCGCGCCCACCTGCAGGGCTTCGAGCGCATCTGGCTCATCACCCTGCTGCACCGTTCCCGCGGCTGGCGGCCAGTGGTGTCGCCGCCGCGCGGAGGCCGCCGCGGCGTCCTCGCCACCCGCTCACCCGACCGGCCCACGCCGCTGGGGCTGTCTTCGGTCCGCCTGCTCTCCGTCCAGCACCTCACGCTGCGGGTGCGAGGCGTCGACCTCCTCGACGGCACTCCGGTGCGAGCGCTTCTCGGACTCGCCGCTCGCGTGCCGATGCGCAAACGTCTCCCTCGCCGCCCTCCCCTCAGGTCCTCGACATCAAGCCGTACGTCCCGTACTGCGACAGCTTCCCCCAAGCGGCGGCGGGGTGGGTGGACTCGCTGCCGCCCGAGGAGGGGGGCGCGGGAGCGGCGGACTTTCAAGGGCTGCGACTCAACCGCCAGCAGGAGGAGAGGCTGAGGCAGGCGAGGACTGGCGAGGAGGAGGAGAGGGAGAGAGGCTGAGCGAATGTGGGTACGCCGCGTTGCGCGCTGGCGCGAGACAGGCGCGAGAGAGAGACAGAGAGCGGTCAAAGACGTCAGCGGACCAGGAGTAGTTTTGTCGTTGATTTACGTGTACGCGTATATTTGTGCTAAAGCCTAAACGGCTAACTGAGCTAAGTCAGTCCTACACTGTCGTCTGTCCCCACGCACACCATCGGCGTCGCGTGCCCCTCTGGCCCCGCGCTCTCCAAGTGCTTGCCGAACCCGCCCCTCTGCCTCCGCTGCAGCTTGCGCTGCGCCTTGGCCGCGCGGATCTCGTGGCGGGTCTGCAGCCCGTGCGGCGCGACGGCCTCTTCGGCCGGCCGCTTGCGCGGCGCAGCGGTCAACGCCGAGCTGGCCGCCCGCGCCTGCCCGGTCGCCTCCCCGGCCTCCAGCCGCTCGAGCTCGGACCGCAGCTCGGCCTCCCTGCCAATCTTTGCGAGCTGGGTATTCTCGAGCGGCACGCCCGCGTCGCGCCGCTCCTTGAGCTCTCCAATCTGCCGCAGGGCTTTCAGCAGCTTCCGCCGCTGCTTGTCCTGCGTGCCGCCGCAGCTCCCGCACTCCGCCGCATCAGGAGCGGCGAAGGCAACTCCGCTCGCCGACTGGTCGGTCGCGAGGCCGGCGCCCGACGCCACGCACGCTAGGCACCGCCGCGTTCTGTCACCGTGCCGGCCGCGCCGCTTGATCATCCGGTGCGAGAAGGCTTTGGCGTCAGTCGTGCCGCAAGCCACGCACGCCACGTCGATAACCTCCTCGTCGGCCTCCTCCTCGAGCGTTTCGTCGTCGACGCGTGGGAGCGCCGGCATCCGAGCTTTGCGGTGTATCTGTCGATTTGCCGCGGCAGAGCCGTCGCGTCGCTAGGCTCCCTTTTCTTTTCTCGCAGGAAAAAAGAAATTAGGTGCCAGTAGGCTTGGCTAGCTGCGGGTCGACAGTCACGGCGTTGTGTGTCGTTTTCCACTTGACCTCCCGAAGGCGATGCACGAACCGCGAAGGAGCGGTGCCGGTAGGGTCTTCTCCCCCCGGCGGCCCGCGCACGCCGTCTGAGCCTAGCGCAGCGCGAACTCGCTCTGAGCCTAGCGCAGCGCGAGAGATTTTGCGCAGCAACCCGGCCGAAAAAGAAAGAAAGAAAACAGATATGCAACGGCCGAAAAAGAAAGAAAGAAAACAGACAACCCAAGAGAGGGATGGGAGGACGGCACGCCGCCACCACACAGGGATTTACCCGGCCGAAAGAAAGAAAGAAAGAAAACAGACAACCCAAGGGAGGGATGGGAGGACGGCACGCCGCCACCACACAGGGATTTTAAGGAGAGGTGTGTGGTGCGCTATCCGTCGCCCACCCTAGGGAGTCTGCCTCTTCCTATCTCTCTTCGCAGTCTCTCGCTGATTCTCGCTGCAATCTTCATGCCACCACGCGGTCGTCCCACCCTCGTCGTTCTCTCCCTTGTCACTTCCTCCTCTGTCGCGTTGTTCTCTTCTGCCCCGTCCTGCGACACCGCCGCCTGCCGGTCCCTTGTTCTCGCGGCTTCTTTCGCCTGTCGGCGCAACTCCGTCCTCCTCGCGGCGTATCCTGGCCCCTCGAGTCTATCGGCCGGGCAACCCTTAAAAACAACGTTAGTTTTTTTTTGCTCACAAAATTGGCTCTCCGTGGCGCTTCCCACCCTTCGGGTCGCGCTCGAGCGGGGCATGTCAGTCGATTTCTTCGGCGACTACCTTTACAACAAGGCCCACCACCGGCGGCCCCACGACGGCGTCCTCGCCGCCTGGGCGGACGCGATGCGCGCCCCGGCCAACGCGCCGGTCGTGCACGGCGACAAGGAGAAACCAGAGCTCACCCGGCAGTACAACGAGGGGTACAAGGTCGACCTCGCGGAACCCCACGCTGGCCCGGGAGGATGCGATGAGGTGAATGAAGTCAAGCTCTGGACGCCCCTCCTCAAGACCTCCTCGGCGGGCGTTGGCAACGCCTCGAGCGGCGGCACGCCCGCCTCCGTTGGCCACTCCTACGCCTTCGGCAACACCGAAGAGAAGGCCCGCCGCCTAAACATGGGCTGCAAGGCGCGCGGGCAACCCGGCCAACCCTTCGACCACAAGAACGGCCACGGCTACGTCAAGGCGCATCGCGGTTTCTACCACGACGCGATCTTTGTCAAGCGCAACAACTTCAACCTGCTGCTCCACGAGACGTTCGGCGGCGGCTTCTCGCCCACCGCCGTTCTCAAGCTGCGCCGCCTCGCGCGCAAAGTCGCGCGCGGCAGCGTCGACCGCACGGCCTACTCGCCCAAGTACTCGCTCTCTTTTATGTCCCACCATGCAGAGCGCATCTCTCTCTCTGTTGTGCGAGGCGTGAACCGCGCCATTCGCTCTCACCTGGCAACCCTGTCTGCACGTCTCGCGCGCGCGTGAACAGGGCTCCAGGCCCCAAATGACGTGTGAGTGTTAGAGTTGTTTGGTATTGCTAAAAATCTCTCTCAAAAGCGGGCGGCGTCTCGTGCACGCCGAGCAAGATTGGACCTTCGAGTCGGCGCGATGCCCCGCACTGCAGCTGAAAAGCGCCGACAGCAGGCGCCCGCGGGGCAGTGGTACCTAGCGGCCTCCGATGAGCTGTGCTGGAGCGAGGAGGATGCCGCGCGCGAGCGGGGGTGGCTCGCGCGTCTCGGCCCGGAGTCGCCCGGCGGCACGCACGGCTATCGGCCTCCAGGCAACGATGAGCTCAACCCGAAGAAGCGGAACAAGGCGCTCAAAGCTCGCAAGCGCCTCGTTGCTATGCGCGTGCTCCGCGCTGGGCCGGTCGGCGAGGCCATGGAGGAGGAGGTGGAGGCCGGGCCGGTCGGCGAGGCCATGGAGGAGCAGGCCGGGCCGGCCGACGACGACGAGGAGGAGGACGAGGGGGGGGAGGCGGACGGGAGTAGCAAGGCGGAGAAAAAGGCGGCGAAGCGCAGTCTCGATCGTAAATTCGCCAGCGAGGTCCACTCGCTGCTGACCGGCCCACGCAGCGGCCACGCGCCGCCCGGTCTCAGCGGCGATCTAGCGCAGGAGCTCGCCGCCGTCTGGAACGGCAGCGCGCTCGACTACCTGTATGACATCGAGCGGGCGCCCTCGGAGCCGCGCAACCAGAAGCTGCTGCTCCAGTACAAGAACGGTTGTCTTCCTCCCCCTTTGTTGTGGCGCAAGGACCCGCTCCTTGCGAACCAGCCCGAGGGCCTGCTGCTGCCACAGTCGTGGCCACAGCACTGGTACACGTACCCTCGGCTGGTCATGCTGCGCACGCGGGCGAGGCGCCTCCTCCTCGCGGCAGACACGGCGGAGCACTCTCCGCTGCTGCAGGCGGCGCGCCAGGACGCCGAGCGCGACGCCGCGGCGAGGCGCCTGGCGGCGGCGCGCTGCGCGACGCCCAGCGTCGCCGCGCTCCGCGGCACTCTCGCTGTCTGCCAGGAGTGCCGCGGCGAGCTCTCCTTCGACGCCGCCGCCGCCGGCCCCGCACCTCCTGTCGAGCTGCGCAGCTTGGACTGCGCGCAATGCTTGCGCCTCGACATTGACAGCATGGTCGCGGCGCGCTGGCCAGACGCGGGCAAGGGGAGGGGGAGGCTTGTCGACCTCGAGCGCGCCCCACGTCTCTTCAACCCCCAGCGCCCCGGCTGACTACTGGCTACTGCGCGCACGCGCGCGCGTACTGATTCCGCAGTAGTACTGTGGAGACAATGCACGCCGGGAGGCGGACTACGGGCGGGCATGTTGCAATATAGTACTACGCGCGCTGTTTGGGCGGTGATTTTTCTCGTACTGTCGCGCACATAATCAGCTCTTCAGTGCAGAGCCACAACGCACACCGTCGGAGAGGGCGAGGGGCGAGGCCGAGGGGGGCCGCCCCCGGTGCGGCGTTTGGCGGTGTCGCATTTTCCGGGGCGCATGTCAGGCCAACGGAGCCGCATCGTGCCGACACGCGCGAGCAGCGGCGTCGCTGGCCACCCGCACGCGACCCAAACATCAGAGGCGACGGTCGGCGCCCGGACATGAAGACAGCAGGCGGCGGAGCCCTCTGCTCAAACGCGCACTCGCGCCCCCGGCAGCGGCTGACGGCCGCGCGGCTCTGGAAGAGCGCACGCGTCGGGGCCCAACACGCACGAAGCTGATCGTCGCGGAGAGCCCGCCCCGCGAGCTTGTCCTGGACACCCAGCCCCTCCTGCAGGCGCGCCATCCCACGGCAGCAGCGGTCGCCGGCCAAGACATCGATCCGTCGGTCGATCATCGAGAGGAGCATGGCGCGCCCCTCAGCAGCTGCCGCGGGCGAACCCGTGCGCGCGGAGAGCGCCCCAGGCAAGCTCGCCCTCGGCGCCCAGCCCCCGTGACAGGCGCGTCGCCCAGTCGCAGCAGCGGTCGCCGGCCAATAACTCGACTCGTCGAGCGGTACTCGAGGCGGGAAGTGCGCGCCCCTCGGCAGCTGGTGCGTACGGAGCGCAGGCGCGCGAAGAGCGCCCCTCGAAAGCTCACCCGTGGCGCCCAGCCCCTGTAACAGCAGCGTGTTTTTTGCGTCACCTTACGGCGGTGGGAGCTGCCGGAGTTTGCTCTCTCCGTTCACACCCCTTTGCAGAATTTCTGCGGCAAGATAAAGTCTACTCAGAGCGGTGGTTGAGGCCGATTGCCTCAACTGTCAACCAGCGGGTTGACAGAGGTCTCAACCATCAACCAAGTGGTTGACAGACCCCTTCAACCTTCAACCACGCGGCAAGATAAAGTCTACTCAGAGCGGTGGTTGAGGCCGATTGCCTCAACTGTCAACCAGCGGGTTGACAGAGGTCTCAACCATCAACCAAGTGGTTGACAGACCCCTTCAACCTTCAACCACGCGGAATGGCTGCTCACACACACACCGCGCAAAGACTTCTGAACAGTGAACATTCTCTGTGAATTCATGTCGTCTTCTTTAGATGCTGCATTTGACGCGCCTTTTTCACGAGTACTTGCTTCAGCTACACGTACACGTGCGTGGATGGGAGAGGTGTGATGCCAAGCCCAGACGAGGAGCGCTGACAAGTCATCTCGAATGCCCCGCCACCGGGGGGGTCCCGGCCGACGTCATGGTCGTCCGGACGCGGCCCTCTGTACACGGAAACAGCTTACCGCAGACATTACCGAACTCAAAACTGCTTACCAAAGGCAGATACGAGCTCAGCTCAGTGAGATCTAGCAGCACATACCCTCAGTATCCAGAATAGTTAAGTCTGAAAAAGTCGGTCCGACCGCGCAGAGCGGTCTGGCTGTCTGCAGAGGCCAGAGCTTCCGTCCGGGCCTTGAGAAATGTCGGAGGCATGTCGGCCCATGTTCGCGATTTTGATGGCGTTACCCTCATTGCACGTGAACCAGACCGCGCCGGCCACGCACCCTTGTTCCCGGAGGCCAACTCGAACAGGTTTGAGATATGCAGCAGGAGCTTAGTTGACCCTGCTCGAAGGCCGCCCTGCTCTAAGGCCGCCCTGCTCTCGGCATTGCGTTGTTGACTGATAGCACTGTCTGATCCAACCAGAAAGAGCCGTCGAAGAGCCGTCGAGCTACATGAGACCCAAGCAAGTCGTCGTGATGTACCAGAAAACGAAACCAGCACCAACAGAGGAGACGAGATGGGGGCGGAGCCGCGGCTGAAAAGGGCTATTAGTGCCAGTGCGCGCCAAAAAAAGAAAGAAAGAATATAGACAAGCCAAGGGAGGGATGGGAGGACGGCACGCCGCCACCACACAGGGATTTTAAGGAGAGGAGTGTGGTGCTAGCCGTCGCCCACCCTAAGCCTTGGTCGTCTGCCTCTTTCTATCTCCCTTCGCAGTCCCTCGCCATTCTCGCGCCAGTCCCGCGCGGGCAGAAAAGTCTTTTTTTGCGGGCGGTGGTTCTCAGCCTGCATGCGCCACAGCTGCTTGCTGGGCTGCTGAGGCTCGGTTGGCTACGGCTCTGCGTGAGTAAAAACAATGCGACTAAGCTCGACGCTCTCGGTGGAGCGGCGTGGTGCCGGTCCGGCCGAGGTGGCTCGCGTCGGTATTGTGGGCGCCGCGCTCACCCACATCATATTCGTGCCTGGCAACCCCGGCGTCGCGAGCTACTACACCTCGACGGCAGAGATGCTCGCCGAGCGGCTCGGCGCCACTGCCGCCGTCGTTGGCTATCTGGGGCACGGGTCAGCGCCGCTCGAGCCGCCGATGGCCGCATACGGGCTCGAAGCTCAGTGCGAGCACGTGCACCGATTTTTCGAGGGTGAGGTTGCAAAGCTCAAGGCTGGCGCTGAGGAATGGGGTGGCGAGGCGCGGCTCCTGGTCGTCGGTCACTCGATCGGCGCCTACATCGCCTTTGCGGGCGCACAGCGGGCGGGGCTGCGGCGCGGCGCCATTGGCGGCGTGCCCACCCGCTCGATTGGCCTGATGCCGTTTCTCGAGCGCACCGAGCTAGTCCGGACGAAGGCGGAGGCGGCGACGTCTTGGTGGGCGCCCGCCGCCGTCCTCTTCCTCTCCTGCGCCGCCGGCCTGGTGGGGCTGCTCCCTCGCTTCGCCACGGAGCGGCTCCTCAAGCTCGCAGCGAGCGACGTGCGTCCCTGACCCAGCCGAGACGTGGCACGCACACACGCACGCTCGCACGCACGCACGCACGCCTGCACGCTCGCACGCTCGCACGCTCGCACGCGAACACACGCACGAACACGCGTACTCACGCACGCACACATGACACGCCGCCCACCCCGCCCTCCGGCGCTCCTCCAGCGGCCTTTCCAGACCCCTCCCCGCACCCCGCCGCCCTCGCCAGGTGCGCCGCTTCTGCCCCGAGATGGTGTCGTTGACGGCACGCGCGCTGCCCCGCTTCGGCGCGGTGCGCAACATCCTGACTCTCTTCCGCGACGAGGCGAGGCAGCTCGGCGCGCTCTCTCTCACAGCCTCTGCCGCTGCACCTGTGAGCGTGTCGCCAGGCGAGGGAGCTCGCCGAGCCGTACGACTACGCCGCGCTGAAGGAGCGCTGCGGGGGCGCGCTGGCGACCTTCTCTTGCCGCAGAGGCGCCGGCGTGGCTCGTGATGCGCCGCGACACTCGAGACCACCTGTAGGCGCTGCTGTATGCGGAAGGCGACACGGACGAATGGGCGCAGAGAGCAGCAGCGGCGGCCAGCTGTCCGCGGTCAGGATCTCTCCACACTCCCTGCACGCGTGCGACTAGGCGCCGAGCGAGGCGGCGGCGCGCGCCGCGGCTGCGGGCGTGGCGGTGGCGGTGGAGGAAGGTGTGCCGCATGCTTTCTCCGTCGAGGCGCCCACACGCGAGGCAGTGGTGGCGAGGGTGCTGGGGCTGATCGAGGAGATGAATTGAGCGAGGTCGTTCTCTTGATTTAAGGCTGCATGTCCATGTGGTAGGGGTGTGTGGTTCGGTTCTCTTGTGAGGTTGTTTATCTTGGGGGTTGTCGACGTCAAATTGTCATTTATTTTACCATACATTTAAGATATTTATCATTTCCTGTATCCTGACGTGCGTGGCCTGATTCGATCCCCCCAATGGTTGGGTAGTAGGGCTAGAGGGTCGCTCTACACTTAGCCTCTGCAGCGAGCGAGCGCTCAACTTAGCCCCCGCACGGAGCCGGGCTCGGACTTAGACGCTGTATGGTCGGGGGCCATGAACTTAGACGACACAAGGCCAACTCCGGGTAAAACCCGGGTATACCTGCAAAAGTCCAGGTTTACCCGAAAAATACCTGGACGCGTCCCGACCAACGTATGCCGCGCACGACGCCATATCGCCTTGTCCCAGGGCCAGTGCGCTACTTGCGGCGCGCAACTCCTGCTCAAGTACGCGCACCGTACCATGTGCTGCCGCTATGCGTGTCTTAAGGCGGCTGCGGCGAAGCGGCGGGCGCGGCATGCCGATGGCAGTGCGGACGATGCGGTTGCGATGTGTTCTGCTTCAAGATCGTGGCGGTGCTTGGCATGCACTTCTGCGATCCCAATCAGCTCATCGCAACGAAGCAGCGCAACAAGCTGGCTGCTGCCAACAAGGCCCTATGCTAGATCTACCTCACGCGCGGATCGTTCAAAGAGGACCAGCATACACAGGCTTCCTTGACATGCGTTTGTTTGAGCTTGAGGCTATTTGTGAGAACTGTTTGGCTTGAAGATTGCGCTCAAGAAGAGCAACGAGAATCGGAAGAGGAGGATGCTGAGGCGGCGATTGCTGAGCATGAGAAGGATCGATCCGGATTAGAAGGCGCCCGCCGCAGGCGAAGAAAATTTGGGGGCTAGCGCCGTATCGTTGATCACGGTGGGAGCCTCTTGGCCCCAGGCTGTGCCACGGCCGACTTAGCCGATGTAAGAGGCTCTCGCTGATCTTAGACCGCGTAAGCACCCCAGCGTGACTAGTCACACTTAGACCCGCTCAGCCTCGAGGCTCAGAACTTAGACTACTACCCAACCAGTATCCCCCCCCCCCCCGATCAGAAAAAAATGTGGAGAAGGTACATACATACGTTTCACGTGTACGTACCGTCAAATGCGTACCGTATATGGTATAAAAACGAGAAAGCGCGAGGCCGCCTGGGAGGCCACCCAGAGGTCGGACTACGGTGTACGGCTTTACGGACAGCCACATGGACATGGGGACGTGCGCACCTAGCGCGCACACACAGGACGACACACGACACCGGGCGCGAGAGTGCTGGAGAGTGGAGTGGAGAGAGGAGATATCAGATATCAGAGCGTGAGCTGAGCACAGCGGGCCACACGCCGACCCCGAAACGCACACGCGGGCGGAGATGGCGCAGATCCAAATATGCGCGCGGTGTCGCGACATCGACCGTCACAGTCTGTCGCACGCTTTCTGCCGTGTGGGGTCACTGCAAACCTGGCCCTAGAGGACCTCGTGCCGACAGCCGGCCCTGCTACAGGTTCAGCTCCGCAGGTCCCTCACTAAGGCCCAGGCGAGCCTCGCTCCGTGTCCCACCGCCGCAGCCCGAGCGGCAAGTTCGAGGTGAAGTAGTCGACGCCGCACCTGTCCATGTGCTCCCACACCTGCTCGCACACGCCCGCTGTCAGGGGACGGGCGGCGGCGGCAGCACCCGCTGCACCGCCGCCGTGGCGCGCCTCCTGCACGTCGTTCTCTGCGGGCGCCTTCCGGACCCACACGGCGAACGATGATTAGCGCTCCTCCTCCGGTGAGGAGGATTACTAGTTTGTGATGGCGCCTTCCAGACCCACACGGCGAACGATGATTAGCGCTCCTCCTCCGGTGAGGAGGATTACTAGTTTGTGATGGCGCCTTCCAGACCCACACGGCGAGCCTCATGCCGCGCGCGTGGAGCCACTCCGCCAGCTCCGCGCTCACCACCGCCGGGTCGGCGTTGAGGTCGATGCCTGTCCTCACACCCAGCGCTGTGAGCGCCGCGCCTTCTCTGTGCGGGGCGGGAGAGTGGCTGGTGGCCGTCGAGCTTCGATCTGTGCGCCGTCCTCGCCACCGCCCACGCGTCCGCCGCGCTGCCGACGTACGCGACGAGGAAGGCGGAGTGCTGCGGCAGGCGCCGCTTGATGTCGACGCAGGCGCCTGCGGGAGAGTCCCGATCGCTATACGGGAGGGCGGTGAGGCGCAGAGGCAGGTCGACGCAGCGGCCGAGGGAGAAGGAGATCCACGACAGCTGCGACGGGAGCACCTGCTCCAGACGGATTGGGTTCAAGCTCCCTCCCTCCGAAGGAGAGGGCGCCGCGGGCGCAGCGAGGCCCCGCTCTCCGCCACGGCCGCCGCGCTCGCCGCCGTCAGCCGCTCGTCGAAGCCTGCGCCGGGAGCCGCACCCTCCGCCTTGATCTCGGCGAAGCAGTGGACGAGCCGCGGCCCGCCTCCACCTCCGCCTCCGCCTCCGCCTCCGCCTCCGCCTCCGCCCTTGAGCGGCGGAGGGTGGCGGAGCAACGAGAGCGCCTCGGCAAAGGTGGGCACCCTCGCAGCGTCGCCGACATCGACCGCTCGCACCTCCTCGAGACTCAGCTCCGAGACAGGCGTCCGCAGGACGCCGCTGTCCACCACGCCGCCCAGCCAGCTCGACCACGAGTGCGCCGTTGCCGTGCGCCAGAGGGTCTCGTCGTGGAGCACAACCACCTGCCGGGGCGTAGCTAGGTCTCCGGCGAAGCGCGACCACGAGTGTGCCGTGCGTGTTGCAGAGTGTGGTCGCAAGAAGTGTCCCGGCATACCTCTTGGGTCCGCAGGAGCTGGAGATCGACTTCGAATCCGTAGCCGGTCTCCAGCGCCGAGCGAATCGCCGCGAGTGTGTTCTCGGGCGCGACAGCCGAAGCTCCACGGTGACCGACGATTTGCATGCGATGCGACTGGAGTACGGCAGACTGAGAGGCGGAACGGGCGTGCAAAGTCACGATGACGGGCAAAATTGTAGCAGCCCCGACGCACAGAAGGCGCGCCGGAGCGGAGTGAAGAGCACCGTCTTGGTTGGGCGTTTGTGGTGTTGTTTTTGTGTGAACATAAGATTCCTAGGACGTATTTTCTTCGAGATTTTTAGAAGCCAACAAGAAATGTGTCACACAGAGTGATCTCTCTATTTTCTTCTCAATAACAAGGCTGTGAAGAGCTGGAGCTGCGGCGGTCGCGCAGGGCCAGATTTGCCCTAGGGCCAGGCGCAACACGCAGGCTGAGAGCGCGCTCCCGCTGTCGTCGGACGCCTTCCTCCAGCTGGCCGGGCGGGTCGCCGTGTGGAGGGAGCAGGTGGTGCGGGTCATGGAGGCGGACGCCCCAGGAGGCGAAGGCGGAGGCGAAGGCTCGGCAGAGGGAGCGCGTCGCTGCCATCCTCGCGGGCACGGACGCTGCGGGCGCGGGCGCGGGGGTGGAGGAGGCGCGCAATTGCTGGGAGGAGGATGCGTACGAAGCGGAGACGCTGGAGGCGCTCGCCGACGAGTTCGGCGATTGAGCGCCTCCCTCTCTCTCCGGCTGCGCGCATGACCGGTGCGGCCTCCGAGTCGGCGTCTAGCGCGCACGATAAGGTTTTTGCTCGCCTTCCCTGGGACCCCGTGTTGCATGTCTGACTGTCGGTGTGTGTGCGATTTCGGGCCCGGGGTTGTGCGTTTATGTGAAGAGCGGCCGCGAGCAAAACAAATCGAGCGCGCGGAGAAGGATCTGTGTAAGTAAAAACGAGAAAAGGGGAGAACATGGACCAGCAACACAGAGAAACTGCACGTTTTATCAAAGTAAGTTCCCGGAAAGTTCCCTGAAAGTTCAGGGCGGTGTCAGAACAATGCTGTCAATGCACTTCACGTCGCCGCTCGCCCTGCACTCGGCGACTACCGCCCGCGCGCCGTCCGCCACCATGCGCGAGGCCACGTACAGGCCCGGGGTGACTGCGCCCGCTTACCTCGACGGCTCCTTGCCGGCCGACGCGGGCTGCGACCCGCTCTGCCTCGCGGCCCTCGCCCTGCCTCCGGGCGTGGAGGACCACAACGTGGACTATCCCTGCAAGGGCAGCATCCTGGACACCTGGTGCTTTTTTCCGTGGTCGCTGGCGGAGCGGCAGGCCATCATGGCGGCGCGCTCGCCCCAGGAGACCGAGCTCACGCTCGCCTGGATGCGGGCTGCGGAGCTGAAGCATTCGCGGCTCGCCATGCTCGCCGTGGTCGGCTGGTCGCTGGCCGAGATGCTGCAGTCGAGCCTCCCGTTCCATGCTCTCGATTTCACCGACGGCCGTGCGCCCGTCCTCGTCAACGGGCTGTCCGCCTACGCGCCGTTCATGCTGCTCGTGCTCGGCGCTGCCGCCTACATCGAGCTGCAGTCGACCGATACGGTCTTTCAGACCTTCCTGTCCCCGCCCGCCCAGAAGTACGTCCCGGGCGATCTCGGCTTCGATCCGCTCGACCTGGAGGCCAAGTTTCCCGCGGGCCTCGACCAGCGCTCGAACGAGATCTACAACGGCAGGCTCGCGATGCTCGCCATCACCGGCTTCGCTGTGCAGGAGGGTTTGTGGGGTCAGCCAATCTTCGGGGCCCACTAGTGTTTGCTCGCAGGCCGCTCTCGCTCTCGCAGCGCGCGCTCGCCTCCTCGCGGTGTTGTGAGGCTTTCGGACACACTTGAGTCTATCGCTGAAGACTCTACACGTTTTGAACATGCCGCCTTTAAGTACGCATCTCATCTTTGCCGGACCTCCTCTCCGTCCCCGCCTCGTAGTCGTGCTCGTCGCAAGCTCCCGACAGTGCGATGAGGGCGCGGTAGTGGGCGATCTCATCCTCCAGCCCCGGCCATCCCCGCCGGCCGGCAGACCAGCGCTCCGTTCCGTCGCCGCCAGCCGCCCCGCCTCCCCCGCCACCCGCCTCGAGGTCCGCTCGGATCGTCTCGAGCTGCTGCAGCGCCTCGCGGAACTGGCCGAGCGAGCCGTGTGCGCACGCCGCCTCGCGCCTTGCCTGGTGGTGGAAGGCGTAGCCGGCGGCGTCCGCGCCCCAGCGGCGCTCCGCCGCCGCGAAGAGCTGGAGCGTGCTCTCCGCGGAGTCGGGGCTCACCCGGCAGTTGAGCCCACGCATCATCAGCAGGTACTCGGACCGGCTCGGGCGTAACGCCGGGTCCGGATGGCGCTGAAGCCACTCCCAGACGCCCCACGCCTCCTGCATGTGGTCGAGCGTGAGCAGCTGCGAGAGCAGGCGCGCGATCGGCCGCTTGCCGCCGCCGCCATTGCCGCCGTCGGCAGCGGAGCCGGCGGACGCGACAGCAGCCTCGCCGCCGGGTGGCTTCAGCGGCACCGCCCACGCCGCAGCGTTCCGGTCGAGGATGTCGTCGAGCCGCTTGCCCTGGCCGAGGCAGGCGCGTACCGTCTGAAGAATCTTTGCGGCGGCGATGCCACTCGGACGACGCATGTACATGCGGCTTTTGAGGGACTGGGTATGCTGCCCGCGACGCTCTTTGAGAAAAGTTCGGCAAGGGCGTGCTCACATCTCTGCGTGTGAGTCGACAAAAATACCCTTTCTTCTTCCGTGAGCGCTTCCTTGTGTTTTTGTGTTGGCTCTTGCCCTCGCCGGTGGATGTCTTCGAAAGGGGCGTGTTCACAAAAATAAGCTTTCCCAGCGCTGACTTCTGACTGTCGTTGCGGTCTATCCCTTTCTCGACTGTCTGAGCTTGAGCTTTCCCTCTCTGTGTTTTTTGTGTGAGCTTTGCTCACGCGCGCGCTCCAACACCCGGTCGTGTCTCGCGCCTCGGCCACATTCACGAATAGATGTCTATCGCGCTGTCCGCCGTTCTCGACGGCGCAGGCGACGGCTGGGTCGAAATTCGCGCTCAGGCATCTCCGCTCCGGGGACTGCACCTCCGCCTCGTCGCCTGCTCCGACGCCGACGCCGCCAGTGACTCCTGCCTGCCGGTCGCCGTGTTTGGCGGCGCCGGCGGCGCAGCGGAGGCCGCCGGCTGGTTCGTCTCGGCCGGCCACGCCCTCGCCCACGGCGTGTACGGCTTCTGCCTCGACGGCCCTTGCGAAGTCAGTGGAGGAGGCGGTGAGGGTCCGCTGCTCACACGGCTGAGCGTCGCGCTGCCGCTGATCGGCCGCAGCACCGTAGTCTGCACCTCGGCCGGAGACCGCCTCTTTGCCGGCGTCGGGGCGGAGCCGGTCGAGCTGCCGCAGGTGTGTGCGGGTAGAGCCTCCCGACAGCCAGCTCGCCAACCTCCCGACAGCCGCGCGAGAGCCAGCCTCCCGCCAGGTGCGTGCGTGTGCTCCTCCGCAGGCGTGCAGCCAACCTCTGGTCTTCGGTGGCAACGTGAGCGCGGGCGGCGGCCGCTCGGCCTTCGTCAAGACGTACAAGACGGGCTCCTCGACCCTCGCCTCGCTGCTGCAGCGCCGCGCAGACAGCCGCGGCCTCGACGTCGCGGTCAACGCGCGCGCGGTGCCGCACCCGCTCCCGTCGCTCGAGCCGCACCTCGCCTTCAAGGAGAAGTGGGCCAGGCCGACCGACTGCCTGTACGAGAGCCACACATTCAAGGAGTGCGGCGCTGCCTTCCTCTCCGACCAGGCCAGCGGCGGCGTGCCGGCGCCGAAGCCCTTTGGCCTCGTGGTCGACCACTCGCGCCTGCAGCCACTCCTCGCGTCCTCGGGCGCAGGCGGCTCCTCGGGCGCCGCACGACCGGGTCTGCCTCGAGGCGGAGGGACGCCAGAGGGAAGCCGTGCACTGTACACGCCGGCGCGCGAGCCGTAGGCGCCGCGCTGCGCGACCTACCCGCCCCGTGCGCCTCCTTCGTCGACGCCATGCGCCGAGAGGACGGCGCGCCGCCTCCCCTCCCCTCCCCCCCCTTGTGCGGCTGGTGGCCGGGTGGTGGCCGGGTGTGGCACTCGGCGGTAGGCGCCTCCTCGCGCCTCCTCGCCTGAATTAATTATGAGGTAGTGACTTAATGAGCAGGCGCCGCCTCGCGCCTCCTCGCCTCCGCCGCCGCGCGCGAGCTCCTCTCGAGGTGCATCGACGGCATCGCCGAGGCGGAGGCGCCGGCGGCAGCGACCGAGGCCACTTGCTGCACCGCGCTGTCCCCCGCCGTCCCTCCCGCAACGCCTGTCCCCGTGCGCCGCCTCTCAGGCGTACCGCTCCACTGTCGGAGGCGGAATGCTGCTCACCGCCGTGCGCTGGCCGCCGTCGCGCTTCACGTCCGCGCTCGAGCAGTTCAGCATCCCGCAGCGGACGGGCGTGCCTTGCAAGCGCACGCGCCGCGAGAGCGGCGGCCGCTGCCACGGGCGGACTTGCGAGCGAGACTTCGACTTTTCGTGGCGCCGCAGCGCCGCGAGGGGGCGAGGCGGCGCGATGGCAGGTTGCTCTGAGGGGCAGCACGCGGTTGGTGACAGGCGGTGCCTCAACGAGTCCGCCCCCCGCTACGGCATGCTCGCCACCACGACGCGCTGCCTCCTCGGCACCAGCATCGACAACCAAGCCACCCTCCTGGACCGCACCCGCGCCCAGCTCTCTGATCTCGACGCGATCTCCGCCGCCGGCCCGCCGACGGGTGCCGAGGCACTACACGAGCATGTCCTCGGCTGCATTGAGCGTGACAGGGCTGCTGTAGGCCCGCCGCCAGACGCCGAGGCAGCCGCCGCGATGCAGGCGGCGAGGAGGAGTCTGCAGGCACGGCTCGAGGAGACGCCGAGGGGCCGGCGGCGGTGGCGGCACAGCGGAGGGGCGGCGGGGAGGCCGGTCGGCTGCGGAGCGAGGCGCGCGGATGCGCTTCTCTGCCGCACGCTCCGTGCACCTGTCCGCCGCACGCCTCTGCTCCGACCGCCAGGTACCGCGGCCCGCTGCTCGACTTTCGGTATGTGCGCGAGTCGGTCCCGAACACGCTCGGCTGGGGCGATGGCGCCACCGAGCCGGCGCCGCTCGCCGACGACTACAGGGCGATGCTTGCGAGTGAGGCGGGAGCCGTGTCGGCGTTGCGCTGGCTGGGCGCCCTCAGCGCCAAGTTCGAGCTGGTTGCCCTCACGGAGCATCTCGACGCGTCGCTGCTGCTGCTGGGCAAGCTGCACGGCTGGCCCCTGACCGAGCTGGTCTACCTCTCGCAAAAGCGGCGCCGCGCCGCCGCCACGAGACACGCCTACGACGACGCTCCGGCCGCGCGCGCGGCCGCCAACGGCTCGCTGCTCGCCGGCGCACGCGGCTGGCCCGCGGCGTCGCTCCTGCGCGAGGGGCTCGACGCGCCGTGGCTTTGGCCACACGAGCTCGACTCGCTGCTGCGCGCGAACTGGCTCGACTCGCTCGCGTACGTACACTTCAACGCGACGCTCTGGCGGCGCATCGATGCGGCATGGGCCGGGCCCGACGGGGCGCGCGCGTTCGACGAGGAGCTGGGCCGGTTCAGGCGGCTGCGGGCGGCGGTGCAAACCTCGTGCGCCCGGTGAGAGACGGTAGCGGGAGAGCGGGGCAGCTGAGGGGGGTGAGAGGCAGCCCTTGCTCGTACCTCACCCTGTTCTCTGCGAGCAGGTGCGAGCGGGCGGGGACCGCAGCTTGCCTCGCTGCCGGGCGCCGCGCACCGCGGCACGCGCCGCCTCACTTTTGCTGGCAGTTGCAGCAGGAAAGCTCTCTGCCAGAGCAGTGTGTCCGTGGGTCTCGGCGGCGCCTTTGGGTAGACCTCTCGGCGGCCGGTTGTGCTGTAGGACACCTCGACGTGGAGCGAGCACTTCTTCGTGCGCCTCGCGCTTCGTTTCGACGCCGCCGCGTCGGTGAGGGACGGCGCGGCGGCGACGGCGGCGTCTGGCGCAAGCTCGCCTGCTGACAGCAGCGAGGTTGGCATCCGGACTGGGAACGTGCGCTGGTGGCGCTGCCGGGACAGGCGGGCGTTGCGAGCCGCGTGCTGGCAGCCGCGAAAGGCAAAGGCGGGCAAGGCGATGGGGAGCAGGCTGGTGAGGCGGGGAGGTTCTGCGTGGGATTGCCTCTGTCGTTGGTCGTGACTTTAAAAACTCTCGTGACTCGTGGGTCGTCGCACACGATCTCTCGGGGTCTGAACGGGAATAAAAATCGCGGCGCGCGCAGCGCGCCACCACCACGGGCGCGGGGACCTGTTCCTTTTTACCCCATCTGCATCCTCCACAGAGAGTTAGAGTCTAGAGAGGTGTCCGTTTTTATTTTTTCTCGGTTCTTCGCGGCCTGCGCCGGAGAGTTGGCGGTCGTGCGCTGGGTGGTAATCGTCATCTGTCTGCTCTGCTGTGCTTCTCGCTCGTGCGTCCTTGGGAAGTTTTGCATACTTCCTTTCGCCTCCTGCTCTCCTATGCCACGTGGCTGTGTGTGTTTGGGTTTCTATGTTTGCGATTTGGATTTTGGATTTTCTACGACTCTTTGTTTATTTATTTACCTTCCACGCACAGTCCACCGACGCCGTGTACCGTGGGGCCTTGTTGTCCTAGCACGGGAGTACCCGTGTGGACCGGAGGTAACAGCAGCAGCAGCAGCACAGTCCACCGTTAACCTTTCTCCCAACCAAACAGAGAATAGTCAAATAGAGAGCCGGAAGTGGGAAGACAAGTGCGGAGAGCGAAATCTTCGAGGGTTTACAAGAAGCTCAAAAAAAGAATTTTACATGCAAACTCCCTCGCACGACACTTCACGAGACTCTCTGTATGTATGTATGTAGTAAGGTGAAGAACAGTCAGGCTCGGACTGGACACCAACGCGGTATGGGTGGACGCAAGACAGATGATGACGACACGCACGAGCGACACACAGACACAAACAAGCTCACAAGACACACAGCCAGCGGGCTGCCACACATCCTGAGTGGGCGTACACATCACTCAGGCCACGTCCCCCCTGTCGCCCCCCCCAGCACTCCAAGGTGCCAAGAGACAAACAACAGCACAACAACACAGACAGGCGACAGGGGCGAACGTGTGAGACTAGAGCAGGCTTGCTCCGCCTCTAGCAATCTCGTCGCCGGCCGCAAGGCACGGACGAGACCGTGTGTGGGGTCTTGTGAGGTGTCTATGGACGCCCTCCTCACAGGCTATTGGCCAGCCGCTAGCCCTAACTCGCACTCATGGGTGACGACAGTTCATTGGATGAGTGGTTACTCTCTAACGTGAAACCGCGAAAAAAGAATGCGAACCGTGCTCCCCGGTGCGCGGCCGCGCTTCCGTCGTCGTGTGCTTGCTCTGCTTCAACGCAAATCAACCACCCATGCCAGTGACGGACTACAAAAAGTGGGAGCGAATGGAGCTGGAGGAGGACGATGACGACCGGCCGCGCAGGCCTCGCGTCACGCGGCTCAACGGCCCATCCACCGTCACGCTCGGTGCTCCGCCACCAGAGCCGCCGCTGGGTACGGGGCCCGTGCCTCACACCTCTGGCCGCAGCCAGCCGCGCGACGCGCTCGACTACTCGCGGTGGGACAAGATCGACATCAGCTCGGACGAGGACGAGGAGGACGACGGCGAGGAGGAGGAGGAGCGTGCGGAATCGGAGGCAGCAGCGTGCCCGTCGCCTGCCGCCGGGTCTGGACCAGTGGCTGTGTTCGACGCGGACGCGCACGACGTGGACGCGCTCGACCCCGAGGAGGAGGCCCAGCTCCGCCAGCTGATGTCGCAGCCAGGCCAGAGCTGCACACACCCAGACCCCACCCCGAGCCTCATAGCTGACCGCGAGGCCGGCACTCCAGGCGTGGCTGCGCCGCCGCCGCCGCAGCCGGCCAAGCAGGCCCTCCCGACGGCCGAGGCGGTGCTGCAGGAGCGGACCGCGTCGCTCTCTCGCAACGGCGCGCCTGTGGAGGGCATCCTCAGCCCGCGCGAGAGGGAAGGAGCGGCTCGAGGAGAGTGGCTACAGCGAGTGTAGGCGCGGCGCGGGAGGGGCACCTCTGGAGGCAGACCGAGTCCGAGGTCGAGCTCTCGCTCCTCCTCCCTCCCGCCACACGCGCGAAGGACCTCCGGCCGGAGCTGCGCCCGTCGCCGGAGCCAGCCGCCGCCGCGTCGGTGCTGGTGCACCGGAGTGGGGCAGGGGCGGCGCCGCTGCTGGAGGCGCAAGGCGGTAGCGAGGGCTCACCCGAGGGAGCACGAGGGCTGACGGCGGCGCCCCTTGGTCGCCCTTAGGCGGATCTGCTTGCCTGTCCGGGTGAGGGGGCTGGAACTTTCCCGGAGCCTTCCCGGAGCCTTCCCGGAGTGTTCCTGCAGGTGCAGCTGGCGTACCCTGTCGAGCTTCCCGACGAGGAGGACGAGCTCGCCTGGGAGGCGGCTCAGAGAGGCCCGAGAGGAGAGGCCCGAGAGGAGAGGCAGGACCTGATGCAAAGGGCCGGGGCAGAACTTTGCCTCTCCTCCACCGAACCCTCGCCCCTCCCCCCCCTCGCCTCTGCTCGGAGCTGTGCGCCAGCCCTCGGGGACCCCTCGCCCGACCCCGGCCCCGACCCGGCAGGTGACGGACTACGAGCCAGACTCGCTCGGCGGCCGCCGCGCCCTCCGCATCACCCTCCGCAAGCGGGCCTTGCCCGGTGTGGTTGTGTGGTGGACTCGCGCCCTCGCGACAGAGGCGGAGGCGTAGCAGAGACGTGCTCCGAGATGCAGCCGAGACGCAGCTGAAATGCAGCCGAGGTGTCGCCGAGATGCCGCCGAGGTGTCGCCGGCGTCTCGGCCGGACACGCGTTGTGAGCGTGACTCGATTGCGACAGGCCGAGATCGACCCGCTCTCGATCCCGGGCCGGCGGAGGGCGGCCAAGGCAGAGGGGATGCAGAGCGTGTGGGAGCAGGCGCAGGCCATGTTTAAGCAAAAGGTGGCGGAGCGCGCGCCTCCGGCGATGCTCGACCTCGGAGAGGGCGGCGAGGCGGACGAGGGCGCGGAGGAGAGGGAATGAGAGGCCCATTTCGAGCACTCATGGCATGTCCTCCAAGCGCGGGGCGGGAGCCGGGAGAGTGAGAGAGAGAAAGAACGCTGAACATGTCTCCTGGGTGCCAGCTTTTGCGAAAACAATTTTTACCAACACGCAAAACAGTAAAAGCGGTCAACGTCGCCGCGCGTGTTGGGGATATAATGATTACGAACACGTGTGTGCAAGCTACAAGCTTCTCTCTCATCTCCACACACACAGACACACCTCCCTCAGGTGCGCACCGCGCGCTCCAAGTCGCTGCTGCTGTCGAACGGCCGGTCCGCGACCCACACGTTGACAGCCAGCTTCTCGCCGCTCGCGGGAGGGCGGCCCTCGTGCAGCGAGCGCACGTTCGGCGTGCCGTCGTCGAGCAGGTTGGCCCAGATGAGCGCGTCGCCCGTGCGCGGCGACACCGACACGTCGAGGAGCGGGAAGCGGGTCTCTCCGCCCGAGCCCGGCGGCAGGGTCGAGCCGAAGAGCAGCACCGTGAAGGAGCGCTGCTCGCCCTGCACGCTCGAGGAGGGCGACTCGTGGTAGTCGTGGTGCGGCCCGAAGAGCTCCGACGCCTGGTACCGCACCAGCTGCAGCGGCTCGACGTGCGCCGCGGTGGTCGGCATGCCGGACCGCGAGAAGAGGTCCGCCACGCGCTCGGAGATGCGCGTGGCGAGAGAGAGCTCCTCGAGCAGGGCTGCGCCGTTGGCCGCCGCCGCAACCTCGTGCGCCCGACCCGCGTAGACCATCGGCCACAGCAGCGGGCACGAGGACGAGTTGCGGATGTCGTCCTTTATTACGCCGTCCGAGTGCTGCCTTCGCAGCGGGCTGCGGCGGAAGCCTCCGCGGCTCTCGGCCAGACGCACCAGCGCCTCCAGTTCCTCCGCCGCCACCAGCCCGTGCGCATACGTCAGCTGCAGCTCGGCGTGCAGCGTGCGGAGCGCCACCGTCCGTCCGTCTCTCAGTTCGATGGTCTCCGAAATCGGCGGTTCAACGGCTGCGCCGCCGACGACGACAGCCGGCGCCGGCAGCTCCGCCGAGTCGCAGGCTTCTGTGGTGGCGACGCGGCTCTCTGGCAGCTTCGAGACGGCAGCGGATAGCCACCAGAGCGCTAGCATCGCTACCGAGTATGGCGCCGCGGCCGACGGTTGACGGTTGATGACAGCCGGCGGGCCGCGGTAAGTCGCCGCGATGGTGGAGTCTGTGCGAGTGGCTAGCGCCCAGGTGCAATCGGGCAAAGAAGAATTTTCGGGATCCCCCGTGCCCCGTGTTGTGCAAAATCCTGCAAAGGTGGGGACGTGTCTGTCCTCGACCCAGCCCTAGCTTGGGATGTCTGTTTTATTTATTTATTTAGTGTTGTGCAAAGAAGAAAGAAAAATGCTTTTTCGTTGACAAGAACGGCTAGCACCACACTCCTCTCCTTAAAATCCCTGTGTGGTGGCGGCGTGCCGTCCTCCCATCGCTCCCTTGGGTTCTCTTTTCAGTGTACGTTGCTCTTACGTTACATCCCGCCGTAGGTAGGACTCTGCTGACAGGGTTTGCGATGAGGAGCGGCCCGAATTTTCTTTCTTTCTTTACAAGAAAACAAGAACGTTGCGAAAAAGGTACCGGTTTTGCTAAAAATCTGCTAAAAATCTTTGCGGAACCAACCCGCAACCGCCGGTCGGTTCGCGGACGCGGTTCGTTCACGGTTCGCGGTTCACGGACAGTGTACGATTTTGGCGTGAACTGAGAGGGTTGGACCCGAAGGGTTTCTCGGGGGTCATAGGCCATCGATCGGTGGCCCGCGACTGGTGCGAGCGCTTCTTTCTCTCGCCCGCCCTCTCGACTCTCTCTGTCTGGTTTCTCTCGCGCATGTTACATCCATCATCTCAGACTTCCTCAGAACTACGATCGGGTGATCGTAGATGGTCATCGTAGATGATTCGAAGGCGGCGTGATTGAAGGGGAGGCTTAAGGGATTTAGCGATGCACATTCCCTGTCGTCGTCCGTCCGCATTTTACCCATAGAATCGCCGACATGCTCGTCGTGCTGGCGCCCGTCTTCGTCGCTCAGCTGGTCACCTTCAAGTGCGACATTGCCGATAGCGCCAAGTGCTTGCAGGCGTCCCCACTACTCCTGCTCGGCAACGAGACCAACGGCGCCGACGCCACAGTGTGGCCTCATGGCTCGGAACTCTTGGGCGACCTGTCTCCTTCACCTCCTCCCCCGCCGCCCTCGCAGCCAGACGAGAGCGAGCCTTCTTCGGCGTCAGAATTCTTGGCAGACTCGCCACCGTTGCCGCCGCCGCCGATGCCACCCGCACTGCCTGACGAGAGCGAGCCCCCTTTGGAGCCGCCTCCTGCAGAGTGCAATGACAGCAACCCGGCGTGCAAGATCTGGGCCGCAAAGGGAGAGTGCGCGAAAAACCCATTCTTCATGCGGAAGAACTGCTGCTGGAGCTGCCGACCGCAGTCTGGAGCCGTGCTTCAGTCGGATGGCGCGAACGAGCAGCATCCTGGCAAGCAGTCAGAGGGCAGGCCGCCAGAGGTACAGCTACAGGGGGCAGACGTGGCCGATCCACGGCCGCCAGAGGTACAGCTACAAGGGGCAGACGTGGCCGATCCGCCGGGTGACGAATGCCGCGACCGTCTGGCAGAGTGCGGCGCGCTCAAGGCAAAGGGGGAGTGCGAGGCCTCCTCCGTTGTGATGAGTGTCGCGTGCTGCAAGACTTGCGGCGGCGCGGGCAGCGTCGTGGCGCCGGACGACAAATGCGAGGACCGCGACCCTCAGTGCGCCGTGTGGGCGAGGCAGGGAGAGTGCAAGAGAAACCCTGACGACATGCAGAAACGGTGCTGCAAGTCGTGCTCGCACCCATGCTGCCTGCAGTGCGAGGCGCGCAGCCACACCGTGGCGAGGCCCGCAGCGCTGCGGCGTCACTCACTCGCCGGTTGACCCATCCGGCCAGGTGCCCGTGGCCTTCCAGTGCGAGGACAGGCGCGAGGACTGCAGCGACCGCGCAGAGAGGGGCGAGTGCAAGAGCGACGCCTCCGTCTTGAGCGACTGTTGCCAGTCTTGCGACGCGGTTCGCCGGAGCCCGCCCAGCCCAGCCCAGCCTCTACTACTCAGGCCCCTCGACCCTACACCAAAGCCGCTGCTCCTTTGCCCTCCTTGCGACAGGTCGCAAGCCGCATTTCAAAGCTCGCGTGCGTCGACACCTTTGCCGATTGCCAGGCTTGGGCGCGGACGGGAGAATGCGAGCGGAACCCGGGGCTGATGCGCGAGCGCTGCTGCAACGCCTGTAGCGACATTGACCGCTTTGGCAAGGACACCTGCCCTGCCGAGGCCGACTCAGCCGCCTGCGAGGTGCGCGTCAAACAGGGGCAGTGCATCTCCAACCCGCGCGCGATTGCGGACGAGTGCTGCCGCTCGTGCCTCGACTGGCAGGACGGGACGATGCACTGCGCCGATACGGCACCCACCCAGTGCGGCCGGTGGGCTGCTGAGGGCGAGTGCCATGCCAACCCGGGCTTCATGACGCAGAGCTGCTGCGGCACGTGCACGCACCCGTGCTGCGCCGATCCGAATTGCGTGCCGCCGCCGCCGTGACGCGCAGCGTGCCCGACTGACCGTGAGAGCGGGGAGGGAGGCAGGAGAGAGGTGGGGACCGGGGTGGGGAGAGAACCTCAGTCGTAGTGAAGCGTGGGCTCTGGTGTCGGATATTGGCAAAGCGGATTTGTGAACGACACCGCTTTGGCAAGGGAAAAGAAAGAACACAGACAACCCATGGGACTGGGGAGCCGGAGCAGACGGCATCGGCCGCCGAGGGCTCGAACGTTCGGGGAAGAGGCACGAGGAGGGCGGCGACCTCGACCGACTATGGAGGACCCGTCGCCAGACGACGCAGGGCAGAAGACGGTGAGGCGGAGCAGACGCGCAGGGCGAGACGAGGGAGGGAGCAGGACTTTGCGGAGATCAGCAGGAGGATGTACGAAGAGATTAGGAGCAGCAGGGACCCGAGGGACCAAGCATGTGGAAGACGGCTAGTGCGCTAGTCCCCCATCGGGAGGACGACCCCGGCTAGTCGCCGACCACACCCAGAAAGAACCCTGCACAAAGATCGCAAGGGCGGGGACCTGTTCCTTTTTACCCATCTCACAGTAGAGAGGTGTCCGTTTTTATTTATTTATCATGGGAGGGAATCGCGGGATGGGAGGACGGCGCACGCCGCCACCACACAGGGATTTTTTAAGGCGAGAGAGATGTGGTGCTAGCCGTCGCCCACCCTCGGGCGTCTACCTCTTCCTATCTCTCTTTGCAGTTTCTCGCTAATTCTCGCAGCGACCTTCATGCCACCTCGCTGTTCTTCCCACTAGCTCTCGTCGTTCTCTCTCCTGCTGTTTCATCTTCTGACTCATCGCTCTCCTCGGCCTCGTTCTGAGACGTTGCTGCCGTCTGCCGATCCCTTGCTCTCGCTGCTTCGTACGTGTATGTTGGCCCCTCGAGTTACTTTATCGAGCTCTCCTCGCGCAAGGACCACATTTCTGACTCCCACTCCGATCATTTGCCTCCAAGTCATGTCGTTGCTCATCAGGTCCACTCTCGCTTCTAGCACTTGTACCTCACGCTTTGAAAGAAAGAAAGAAAACAGACAACCCAAGGGAGGGATGGGAGGCCACCAGTGGTAATCCCGCCATCAGCTGTCACGATATACCCGAAGGAAACCCCAGTGCCAACACCGACCGTTGAGGTACAAGTGTATTCGAAGAGAGAGTGGACCTGAGCAACGACATGACTTGGAGGCAAATGATCGGAGTGGGAGTCAGAAATGTGGTCCTTGCGCGAGGGGAGCTCGATAAACTCGAGGGGCCAAATTATGCCGCGAGGAGGGCGGAGTTACGCAGAGCGGCGAGAGAAGCAGCGAGAGCAAGGCAGACGGCAGCGGCGTCTCAGAACCAGGCCGAGGAGAGCGATGAGTCAGAGGATGAAACAGCAGGGGAGAGAACGAGGACGAGAGTGAGAAGAACGAGGGGTGGCATGAAGGTCGCTGCGAGAATTGGTGAGAAACTGCGAAGAGAGATAGGAAGTGGTAGACGCCCGAGGGTGGGCGACGGCTAGCACCACACTCCTCTCCTTAAAATCCCTTGGCGGCGTGCCGTCCTCCCATCCCTCCCTTGGGTTGTCTGTTTTCTTTCTTTTCTAGGGATGGGAGGACGGACGGCACGCCGCCACCACACAGGGATTTTAAGGAGAGGAGTATGGTGCTAGCCGTCGCCCGCACCCTAACCCTTGGTCGTCTGCCTCTTTCTATCTCCCTTCGCAGTCCCTCGCGCTTTGGCAAAGCGGTCCTCGCATGTTTTCTTCTAGCTGTGCCTTTTGTGGTTCTGCTGTGAGAGGGGCTTGCTCACCAAGAATTCTTCTAGCACTGCGACCCTTCTCGGCATCGACACTTCGCAGCTCCTAGCCATATATGCTCCTCTGTGGACTGTCTCTTCTCGCCGGCGCAGCCAGTGCACTCGCCGGCGCTGGCGCCGGCGCCGTTTCTCTGGGCGCTGCTCACGGTGCCGCCGCTCCGGCGCTGCTCCGTGCGGCTGCGCCTCTGCGAGTCCCAGCCGCTCCAGAGATGAAGGGCAAGGGCTCACGGGGAATGCCCAAGAAGGCGATGATGCGACCGGGCGACATGGTCAACACGGGCGCAAAGAAGCGGATGATGGCGCGCGACTTTCAGCAAAAGAAGGAGTGGGTTCGCGTGGCCAAGCTTGAGGACGATTTGGCTGCCAAGGCGTGGGGGACGCTTCCGAGAGTCCTCCGAGCACTCTCCTCTCCCTGAGCGGCTCCTCGGCCCACTGGTGTAGGGATCAACCAAGGCTGTTGAGGCGGGGCGGGCGCCGGGCGGGATGGGCCCGACGGGATTCCAGGAGGGGAGCAAGTGCGCTCTCTGCAGCAGCCACACACACCGCATGTCCTCCATACCGCACACTCGCCCATCGGCCAAACGCCTGCCGCCGCCGAACCCTCGCTCTAACCTGGACCAGGTACATCTGGTCCTTGGTCCGCGGCGAGGGGTACTACGGCGAGGACGGGGAGGAGGAAGCGAAGGCACTTGCGCTGCCGCGGCAGCCGGCGCCTCCAGCGGGCGGGGCGAGGGGTTGAGGCTGCGGAAGCGGGGCTGTAGGTGTTCGCCACGGACGGCGCGTGCCGCGCGTGCAAGTTCCCGCTCACGCGGGGCGTGTGGTCGGGTGCGCAAGCGGGCTGCGACGAGCAGACGCTGACCTGCCCCGCTTGCGGCAGTCCAGACGCTGCTGGGAGGCGACGAGGGGGGCGGCGGTGTGCGCGTGACGTTTTGTGGCATTCGTAGGTACGCGCTACTCGCTCGAGTCGGGCGAGCCGCTCGACTTCCTGCCGGGAGACAACCCCGTCCACTGGCTCGCCAAGGTCGCAAACGAGAAGAATGGACCGCAGCGACTCGCCGTCTTGCCGACGCGTGTGAGCAAATCGGGCGCCGTCTACGTCCGCTTGCCCGAAAACACGATCATCGACTGAGCGACGCGCGCGCGTGTTTGGGCCGTCTCAGCCTCGTTGCCGCCCCCTCTCATGACACCAGTGTTCCGTGTCTTTGCGCTCTGTGAGTTTTTGCTCTGTCGTCTGTGCACTGTGGGGGCCACACACCCGAGTCACACGCGACATGACACATCTTGTTGAATCTTGAGAGAACATATCGTAATCGAAGAGGTGTGCATAAACCAGACACCACTATGTTATATCATAGGATATAACATACTGAGATACCAGGCTCTTCCCTGGCATATCAGCTATCAAGAAACCGTCTGATTTATAGGAGGAGGAGCTCTGTATTCTGCTTTTTCGACACATCCCACAGAAAACATCCGGGCCATGGGAATATCGGTCCAGACACTCTGGGTTCTGGTTTTTCGAGGTGTGAACGATCTCCCCGTGGAGGGGTCATTCCGGCGGAATGACCCTTCATTAACTAATCGGATTCCGAATGGGTCGAACGGGAGTACTAAGACAGCAGCATGTTCTGGGTGGGAGGAACCCTTGGGGGGAACCGTTTTATCGCTCCAGGCATTATGGTTTCTGGTTTCTGGTTTCTGCTCCGAAAGCGAGGTTGGCGGCGCGCCGCGCTGCCACGCACTTTTGTGGCTCACGGGAGGGAGGCCTGCGATGCGGTCGAGTCCGCCAGGCTGCCGCGATCCCGAGCGGAAACGCCGTGGCAGCCAACATGGCTGCCTCGTGCATCGGACGCCGACCGGCGGGGCCGTTGCTTGTCATGCCCAAGCCCTGAAAGGCTGAGCTGTGAAAGGCAGGCAGGCGTTGTGCGAGTGTTTTGAGTACCTATCACCTATCAATACAGTGTTTGGATCTACTCTGTTGGAGACAGAAAGAAGCTCTATCACAACGTCGGCGGAGCGGCCAATGCGCGCGGCGATCTTGAGGGCACCACCAGGAGCTGGCAAGGCCTCATCGCACGCTACTAGGACGAAGCGGGAGATATATTCACACCGCAGAAACCAGACCCACGGCAGATCCCACGGGAAATCGAGGCGGGTGTCCCAGAAAACAGATCCCAGAAAAAACAGAGCGCGCCGCAGAAACCGACCGACCCCTGGGTTTTCGGCTATGGGAAACCGCCATGGAAAACCGCAGCAGAAACCCTATGGGAAACCGAGGTCTGGTGTCTGCTTTGTGCACGAATGTAATCGAATGTATCGTATGCGGTATAAAAGAGTGAATACGCGTTGTGGAGATCACTTTTTTGACGGATATCTCTCGTCAAACGATAATAATCCCTCGATTTTCACTCGCGCGGCGGGACACAGTCGGAGCCGGCTGGGTCGCGCGCGAGCGGGCAGCGAGCACACAACTCTCTCTCTTCTCTCTCCCTCTCTCCTCTGGCCTCTCTCTCTCCTCTCTCACCTCGCCTCCTGCTCCTCCCACCTCCTCGGAAGACTCCCTCGTCCCGTCTCGCGAGGGACGACCTCGAGGCGAGAGCGCGGGTCGGGAGAGCCTCGCCTGCCCTGCGTGCCTGCCCCGCGCCGCTCACTCCCCTCGCCGGTCCGGAGGCAAGGAGTGGGGCAGCGCGCCGGGCAGGGACGTCCCGGGCAAGGCTGCGCCTGGCAGCATCGCGCCCGGCAGCCGCCGCGCCCCCGCGAAATGTGCAGCCCCCGGCAGCGTCATGCCGGCGGGTGGCACCGGCGCAGCCATCCCTGCCAGCGCCCCTCCGCCAGAGGGGGGGGGAGGTGCGGGCAGCATGGCGCCGGGCAAACGGCCTCCCTTGGGCGCTGCGCCTCCGGGGAGGGGGAGGGCGGTGCTGCCGCCTCCCAGGGCAGCGCCTCCCAAGGCAGCGCCTCCCAGGGCAGTGCCGCCGGGTGCTGCGCCGGGGAGGGGGAGGGCGGCGGAGGAGGGTGGCAGCGGGGCGGCGGCGCCTGAGGGGGAGGGGGGGGGGGGGGTCGGCAGGTTGGCCCGGGCCGCCAAAGGAAAGCGCCCTAACCAGGGGGGAGGAGGGGGATTCAAAAGGGGGGGTGTGCCTTGCACCGACCTACCGTGTGCAGGCAGCCTG